ATATAACTTTCAGTGTAAATTTTAATACATTTCGTAATTATACAGGGCTATAGTTTATGGTCCCTCAAGGGAGGTTCCTTGACGCTGGTGAGGGGCTCTTGATCTAGGGAATTGGATCTGTACTCCAGTTCCCTGAATTAAACCTGAATACAAAAAAGATATCACGAAATAGCGAAATAAAATTAGCAAAATCAGATGAACCCCAACTCCCACCAACAGAAACAGCAAACAGACTCAATGATTTCATCTCCACTATAGGACAAAACCTTGCCAATAAAATCCCAAGCTCAGATACCCCACCAAATGACTACCTCACCGGCAACTACCCGAACACACTGTTCCTAGCTCCGACTAACACATACGAAGTCTCCCTTATTATCAACGCACTAAAAAACAAGGCAGATTTAAATACCTTACCACCCTTTATATACAAAAAAGTGTCACAAGTGCTATCACCAATCATTGCAACACTCTAACAAATCCATTGAATCCTCCACCTTCCCTACAGTAGGTAAGACACATATGCAACAGTTAGGTATCTTTATTATGAAACGTTTCGCCTACACAGTAGGCTTCTTCAGTCAAGTACAGAAAAGTTGATAGAAGCAGAAGATACTTGAAGACGATGTAATCAGTCCATCACCCTTAAAGTTTTGAGGTGGTCAGTCCCTCGGTCTGGAGAAGAGCATTGTTCCATAGTATGAAACAATATGGAGATGAAGTGACAGGATGGAGCTTTTATAGCGCCAAGAGGTGAGACGTAGGCCACTAGGAGAGGTAAGAACTCAGATGTTGAAGATTGAGACACTTATGCAGCATATGGGAATCTTTATTCAGGAAACGTTTCGCCACACAGTGGCTTCATCAGTCCAATACAAAGAGGAAGGCGTAAGGAGAGGAGGAGTATGAGGTAATCAGTCCCTCAACCTGGAGTCGATGTGTTCAGTCCATCAATCTTGTAGAATGTACAGCATAGGGCCGTAGACGTGGCTTATATACTGTAGTGAGGTGACGTGAAGCAGATGGAGGCGGGGTCATAGTGGTACCATCCACTAGTCGAAGTAGGTCTTCGTCCAAAGGTTGAACAAGTGTTGAAGAATTCTTTGTAGCAAGATCCCATGATGCTGCAGTGTCTGACAGTTGGGATGAATGGTTTGAAAAACCGACAAGTTGAAGATTGAGACACTTATGCAGCATATGGGAATCTTTATTCAGGAAACGTTTCGCCACACAGTGGCTTCATCAGTCCAATACAAAGAGGAAGGCGTAAGGAGAGGAGGAGTATGAGGTAATCAGTCCCTCAACCTGGAGTCGATGTGTTCAGTCCATCAATCTTGTAGAATGTACAGCATAGGGCCGTAGACGTGGCTTATATACTGTAGTGAGGTGACGTGAAGCAGATGGAGGCGGGGTCATAGTGGTACCATCCACTAGTCGAAGTAGGTCTTCGTCCAAAGGTTGAACAAGTGTTGAAGAATTCTTTGTAGCAAGATCCCATGATGCTGCAGTGTCTGACAGTTGTGATGAATGGTTTGAAAAACCGACAAGTTGAAGATTGAGACACTTATGCAGCATATGGGAATCTTTATTCAGGAAACGTTTCGCCACACAGTGGCTTCATCAGTCCAATACAAAGAGGAAGGCGTAAGGAGAGGAGGAGTATGAGGAGTATGAGGAGTATCTTCAACCAGCCTGATAAGAAGGGCAAAAAAAATTGTATTATGAGAACAGATTATCCAACTTACGAGGTGATATAAAAAAGACCTGGAAGACCCTATCAGAAATTCTGGGAACAAAAAAGATATCACGAAATAGCGAAATAAAATTAGCAAAATCAGATGAACCCCAACTCCCACCAACAGAAACAGCAAACAGACTCAATGATTTCTTCTCCACTATAGGACAAAACCTTGCCAATAAAATCCCAAGCTCAGATACCCCACCAAATGACTACCTCACTGGCAACTACCCGAACACACTGTTCCTAGCTCCGACTAACCCATACGAAGTCTCCCTTATTATCAACGCACTAAAAAACAAGGCAGGAGATTTAAATACCTTACCACCCTTTATATACAAAAAAGTGTCACAAGTACTATCACCAATCATTGCAATACTCTTTAACAAATCCATTGAATCCTCCACCTTCCCTACAGTTCTCAAAATAGCAAGGGTCACCCCGATCCATAAAGGAGGAGACCAAACAGAGTTGAATAACTATAGGCCAATATCCAATTTACACCCTCTCTCAAAAATCTTCGAAAAATTAATTCATAAACGAATCTACTCCTACCTCATCTCCCAAAACATTCTCAACCCCTGCCAATTTGGATTCAGGCCTAATAAAAATACTAATGATGCTATTATACACATGCTAGAACATATATACACTGCAATAGAGAAAAAAGAAGTCCCACTGGGGATCTTCATTGACTTCCGTAAAGCTTTTGATACAGTTGACCATGACTTGCTCCACGTAAAATTGTCACACTATGGTATAAGAGGGCACTCCCTCAACTACCTCAAGTCAAGCACCTTCAATGCGGCAACCACCAACAAAAACCTCTCCAGCTATCTCTCGACGTATTAATACAGAAGACCAACATCAAGATCAATACCTGCACTGGAAAGATATAACTTTTTATACGACTCCTGACCAAGAACCTACCATGACTGTCGACACTTTGTACGAGAAATTACTCGACAGAACAGTCAAGTTTACAAATCGTAAAGGATCTCACTGCTCCTTCACTACTCTCCAGATGACCTTGGACCAGTTACAAGCCAACCCAGCATTTCGACCTAAGATTACAAGACTACTTATCGTTTCCTTCCAACAAATGCACAACATAAGGAATGCCTCCTTCACGAAAGAAACGAAGTAACTCCAGACTCACATATTAACGACACCTGACCAATCAAGAAGCTTGCCTCCCTTGACCACTCCTCCAGCTCCTGCCAGCCGCCAATCAACATCAAGATGCAGCAATTTTTCGTCCAGCAAGTTGCAGTCAGAGCCTGCAGAGCTCCTGTTGTATCTACATCGTCTTTTGTTATCGTTATTGTGGCTTAGCAGTTGGGTCTAGTCCTGACTCTTCTCTCTTCGACTCAAGACATTCCTCTCACCGTCTATTCTTCGCACTGTCCCCACTTGCCCCTCGCCCCTCGTGGGTACTTACCTGTGAGTCCTATCGTATCGTATCCTCAAGTCATACCTCAGCAACAGAAGCCAATATGTGTACGCAAATGGGGCAAACTCTTCTGCACAACCAATTACAGTTGGTGTCCCACAGGGAAGTGTCCTTGGCCCTCTTCTCTTTCTCCTATACATAAATGACCTACCAAATGCTTCGCAATTACTCAAACCCACACTATTTGCAGATGACACTACATACGTCTTCTCCCACCCGAGCCCAGTCACGCTAGCCAATACTGTAAATACCGAATTACAGAAAATATCTACCTGGATGAGGACTAACAAACTTAAACTAAACATTGACAAAACCTACTTCATTCAGTTTGGTAACAGAGCTACATATGTCCCTCTTAACATAATGATAAATGGATCACCTATCACAAAGCTAACAGAGGGAAAATTCTTAGGAATCCACCTTGATAATAGACTCAAATTTCATATACATACAACAAATTTCTAAGAAAATTTCCAAGACTGTAGGCATACTATCGAAGATAAGATAAGATAGGATAAGATTTCGTTCGGATTTTTAACCCCGGAGGGTTAGCCACCCAGGATAACCCAAGAAAGTCAGTGCGTCATCGAGGACTGTCTAACTTATTTCCATTGGGGTCCTTAATCTTGTCCCCCAGGATGCGACCCACACCAGTCGACTAACACCCAGGTACCTATTTGCTGCTAGGTGAACAGGACAACAGGTGTAAGGAAACGTGTCGAAATGTTTCCACCCGCCGGGAATCGAACCCGGGCCCTCCGTGTGTGAAGCGGGAGCTTTAGCCACCAGGCCACCGGGCCACGTGATACGGTACTATGCTCCACAGTCAGCCCTCCTGGCCCTATATCACTCTCTTATTTACCCCTATCTCACCTATGGAATTTGTGCATGGGGCTCAACAACAATTAACCATCTCAGACCACTAATTACCCAACAAAAGGCTGCAGTTAGAATGATAACAAATTCTCACTACAGGCAGCACACTCCACCAATATTCAATACACTAAACCTACTCATCATACAAAACATCCATAGTTATTATTGCACCTATTACATACATAGAACACTTAACTCTGATATTAACCCTCCCCTCAAACATCTCCTTGCCAACCTCAACAGAACACATGACCATAACACAAGGCACAGATCACTCTTTGATGTTCCTCGTGTCCATCTCACACTATGCAAAAACTCAATGCACATAAAAGGCCCTAAATCTGGAATTCATTACCTGTAAATATAAAGAAACACTACCTGTTTATAAATTCAAGTCTCTTCTCAAAGATCACTTACTCACCCAAAACCAAATAAATACTGAATAACTGAACCTTATAAATTGTATATCTTAAATGTTTCTCACAATTATATCACATAAATGTTAAACCTAAAACCCAATCTAACTTTATTATTTTTTAAATACACTACCTAACAGAATACTCCATATGACTGAATGTACAACAATGCATGCAACCATATGACCTGTCTTTGTAATACTCACTTGTGCTTTATAGTAATCTGTTTACATTAATGTTTTATCACTGATTTCATCATTGCTTAGTTAATCTTAAGTTAATTTTAAGCCAGCCCGTAATGCTATGCATAGTATAAGTGGCTTTGGCATGCTGCTCTTATCTGTATTTTTTTGTACCTCTGTATGTGTGCTCAAATTGTAAATTGTAAATAAATACCTTCCATCCCCCCCCCACAGGCGCTGTATAATCCTACGGGTTTAACGCTCCCCAAGATTATAAGAAAAATAATAATATAGTTTATGACTACAGTCGTCTGCAATTTTTTTTTTTTGCTAAACTTATCAAGTATACAAGTCGCTTTACTAATAAAATTATATAATTTTATTATTTGTAATTGCCGATAATTTATACATTTATATGTAAAGATTGTGAATAAAGAAACAGAACTAACGAAACGAAAATAAAAGCAACGAATATCGTTCACCACAACAATGATAATAAAAATGTACGAGTCTGACCAAATATCTCCACTATTTCCGTAATTTATCTTAAAAAATTTAATACGTGGGGTAAGTATAAATGCTTGTATAATAAGTTTTAACTGATAATGACATCAAGAAACTGAAAAAAATAGGCTGGTGTAACTGGATAATTTCACTCGACTTGGGCCGACATAACTTGCTTATATTAGATTTATATTATATAGTATGGTACCAGTAGGCCTACTTCAGTCTTCATTATCCAAATAAGTGAGTATGGTTAGTGTGAGTAGTAAATATCTAGTTATTAGTATAAGAACCCCAATGGAAATAAGCCACTTTGGCTTTAGGTTATCCTGGGTAATTACACCTATGTTGCTATATATGATAATTTATGTAACTGTATTTATGTGTACCTGTACCTGAATAAACTTACAAACCAAGGAGATCACTAAACTCGTAGTCATTACACAATGCATGGGAAATGGGAGGTAATGGGTTTGATCCACGAAAGGGGAAGATGTATCCACTATCTTGGATCCGGAGCTCTCACCAACATCAACACCTTAGAGGGGAAATAGGGGCTTAAAATTTAGCATTCGTAGGGCATACATAATATGGACTAGTAAACCTACTGCAGGTCTTCTATTTTCAGGTCCTCTTAAGGGGACCTGAAAATAGAGCTCTGCTGAGAGGCTCTTGATCCATGGAGCTAGAATTTCTCTCCTCTTCCTTGGATCGAATATTAATTCCTCCGTTTACCCCAGTGTTGTATAACCTGTATGGTTTTAGCACTCATTAAATGTAATATGATGTAATAATTATGTTACTCAGGTCAAAGTTCCAACAGCCTGGTTGATCAGAGACAGGGCTGAGATTAGCACAGAGATTAAACCTCCATTACTCTAAGTAAGTTTATTTAGGTGCAGGTACACATAAATACAATTATCATATATGGTTTAACATTAACAACACTGCGCTAGCCAAGGATTCGAACCCATGTTGTACTGGCCTACCTCATGGTAAGTGAGAGCCACATGACGATTTAAACCACAGGACCACCCAACCCTAAAGAATGGCGCAGCCAGCACACAGCTAGCTGTTGGGCCGCCATCCGAGGACATACGGAGGTGTGAGAGCTTCTAAGCTAATTTCATTCTCATCCCTGTTTGGTGTACTAGCCTCACGAGCAGTATTTAGTGCAGTGTTGTTATTGATCAATACCACTCGTTCGTGGTTACAATAATATATAAATACAGCTCGTGAGGCTAGTACACCAAACAGGGATGAGAATGAAATTAGCTTAAAAGCTCCCACACCTCCGTATGCCCTCGGATGACGGCCCAACAGCTAGCTGTGTGCTGGATGCGCCATTCTTTAGGGTTGGGTGGTCCTGTGGTTTAAAGCATCATGTGGTTCTCGCTTACCATGAGGCAGGCCAGTACAACATGGGTTTGAATCCTTGGCTAGCGCAGTGTTGTTATTGATCAATACCACTCGTTTGTGGTTACAATAATATAGTTTAACATGTGTAAATTATCTAGGATAACCCCTCAAAAAACTCGAGACAAATTGACTTAGCACTTCAAAATAAAAGGCTTCATAATAATAATTGTAATAATAATTCTAATAAATTTTTTGGGCTAATTGTTACTAATTGTCTGCCGATAATGTCACAGCATGACAGTGGCTCTCTTTGCACTGCAACTCATTATTGTAGTTAAATAATCTCAATGTAAACTTGCAAGGAAATAAAAATTTGTATTTGTATTACCAGTACAGCAGTTATGAGGAATGAAGATTTAACCTATAACTGAGCAAAGCCAAATACTGTGCTATGATTTATTTGTATTATGGTCCTATATACATGTATTACCATAGCAACTAAATACAATTTATTTATATACAGAAGGTACACCATGTGTATCCAGTACAGATTACATATTTTTATTATAATGCAATTTAAACACTGAGCATTTATTAGCAGCTCAATGAAATGGATAAAGGTAGAATTACCATCAAAATGTTAGATAAATGGACGCAGATGCAACTGATGTGGCATTTTATTGTAGCAACATTTCACTCTCCAGGAGCTTTGTCAACCCATTATAAACATTACAAGGACACAGAAGGTATATATATACATGTATATAGGTATCGCATGAGGTGAAAGATAGGTAGCACTACTACCATTACTACTATATATATACATGTATATATTTTTTTTTTCAACAAACCGATCGTATCCCACCAAGGCAGGGTGGCCCAAAAGGAAAAACAAGTTTCTCTTTTTAACTTTAGTAATGTATACAGGAGAAGGGGTGTGTATGTATGTATGTTGTGCCGGATAGGTAAAATTGGTCAATTAGCAAGAATTCACTTAAAATTAAGTCCTTTCTAAAATTCTCTTATACATTTAAAGATACATTTTTTAATTTATGTTAATGTAAAAATTAATAATTTTGTAAAAGAAGAACCTTAGAAAACTTACCTAACCTTATTATAACCAGTGCAATTTAATTTAGCCAAATCCAACTAAATATGTTTTAGATAAGTTTACAGTAATTTAATAATAAACAAATTCAAATTCAAATTCAAATTCAAAGTTTATTCTCTATAAGGATTACAATGCTGAGTTTACAGAAATTTGGTTATTGTGTGGTTTACATGTAGTAAAATAGTGATTACAGAGTGTACCACTAGAACGCTTAGCATGGCTAGGCATTTCGGGCAAAGAAATATATTTTTTCATTAGGTTCAGAATGATTTTTGTGACATTATTGTATACACAAATTTTCGCTTGCCTTATTCGACAAGAAAAGTGTTGTTATGTAAGCCAAAATCACAAATTTTCCCTATTTGGCATGACATAACATGTAATTTATGCGGAAAGCCAGGGGAATGTGGAAATCTTAGCTAAAGTCTTTACATTCTCAGTGCTTCACGGGAGCTGTGAATGTTGAAGGGAGCAACCAAAGCGGGGAGAGAGGTCTCAGATTGGTAGGGTCATGGCACATTACCCTTAGACTGGGTTAGGGTCATGCCAACCATATCCCTTTTTTTAAAAAGTTTAAAAAAAAAGGGGGCTGGCTTTTTATATCTTAAAATTTCCTACTTGAATCTAGAAACCCCCCTACCCATATGGGTGTGGGGGGATGGGGAAAGGGTGGGGTTGGCACTGCCACTAACCCAGTCGGGAAAGTGGCCAATGAATACGCTACCTGAGAACTCTCTCCCTGCTTTGGGTTTCTCCCCTTTCAACATTTCTCAGCTCCTGTGATGCACCAAAATGGAAAGTTTTGGTAAAAGATTTCACCCTCTGTGGCTTGTCCTGCATAGTTAAGATCACCTGTCGCGATTGTTTGCATATAGTGTAATTATTATATATTATATATATATATTTATAATATTTATATATATATAAAATTTTATATATATATTAATATATATATATTAATAAATGTATATATATATATATAAAGAAAAAAGATCCAGTAAACAGGTGATTTTAGAATTGCAAAACAACCACCGAAAAAAAAGAGAAATTCCAAGCGCTTTCTGACTTTCTACATTTAAGGAACTATGTAGTTCCTTTATAATGTGTAGTCACGAAAGGCTTGGGGAAATTTCTCTATTTTTTCAGAGTGGGTTTTTTTGCATATATATAGAATATATATATTATATATATATATATTATATATATATAGATATTATATATATATATATATATTTATTTAGATATATATTATATATATCTGTAGAGTATGTTAGGAAAGAGGGGAACATTTTTCCCAGGTAAAAGTAGGGGGGGGTCTTAGCCCGGGATGTTTTAATGTCCCCCATGGTTTTTTAAATTTAAAATTTTTTAGAGGGGGGGTTTGTAAAAGAATTTAAATGTTAGGGTGTTCGGGAGAGGGGGGGGAAATTTTAAATTATGGGGAATAAAATTTAAAATGGGAATTGACACATTTTTAACTTTTTGTGATGTTTACTGTGCTTATGGGAGTTCTAAAGAAAAATTGCAAAGGTTAGGGGGATGAGTTTGGGGGATGTGTGTAAAAGGTGAAATTTGAAAGTGAACATAGAAAAGATTTAAGGTGATGAGGGTTTTAAAATGATTTTTGATAATGAAAAATTGGGATATCAAATTGGGGGGAGGAGTTGGGGAAAAAGTGAATGTTTTTTGGGTTTCTTTTGGGGGTTGACGTGTCGGGGATGGATTATGGGGAAAGGGTGGGTTAATCATAGAACTGATGGGGAAAAAAGGTGAGTGGTGCGGGTTTAAAGGGTTTTGTGGAGTCAAAAAAAGTTAAACTTTGGAGGCAAAAAAGGGAATGTATGAAAAATATAGTAAATACCCAAAACCCCTTAATTTGGGTGTGAAGCTTGGGTGGTAAAAAGCAGGGAGCCCAGGAGCGGTTGGAGGGAGTGGAGATTTTCCTTTTTAAGGGGGAATTGTGTGGTGGAAAAAATTATGCCCGAAAAAACGGAGGGTGGAAAAATTTGGGGAAGGGTGGTGGGGGTTTAAAAAAAGCATTTGTCAAAAAGGGCAGAAGAGGGGGTTTTTGAGGTGGTTTGGTCATTTAGAGAAAAAAGGATCAAGTAGAATGGGGCATGGAAAGCATATAAAACTATAGGGGAAGGGGAAAAAGGGGTGGGGTCGTCCTCGAAAGGGTTGGAAAAAAGGGGGTAAAGGGGGTTTTTTTGGGCGAGGGGCTTGGATTCCCCGCAAGCGTGTGAGGTGTTGATAGGAGTGAATGGGGGACGAAAGATACTTTGGGACCCGACGATCTGTTGGGGTGTGGCAGGGTAAAATTTAAATGAAGGGATTAGGGGAAACCCGGGAATTTTCTTATAGTGGACTTGGTCCGGAAAAAGGGAAGTACAATGCCTGCACTTTTTAAAAGGGGGGGTTTGGGGTTTTTGGCCCGTTTTGGGGGGGGATATTTTGTGTATCTTTTTTAAGTTTTGCTTCTAAAAATGTTTTATTTTTAGCACCCCTGCAAAAACGTGATAATTTTGTGAGTGTGGTGAAATGGGTTTAATGGGTGATTAAAGTTTTTTTTTTTGGGATTTTTTTTTCTTTTTTGGGGGACCTGCCTCGGTGGGGGGACGAACCCAAATTGTTGAAAAAAAAAAATATATATATATATATATAAATATATATATATACGTATAAATATATATATATATATATATATATTATATATATATATATATATATATATATATATATATATATATAATATATATATATTATATATATATTAATGTTGCAGTTTAAAAACTGTAGTGTAAAGCACCCTTCTGGCAAGACAGTGATGGAGTGAATGATGGTGAAAGTTTTTCTTTTTCGGGCCACCCTGCCTTGGTGGGAATCGGCCAGTGTGATAATAAATAAATAAAATATACACACACACACACACTGTGTCCCTGTAATGTTTGTAACAGCTTGACAAAGTTCCTCTTTGACAGCAAAATGTTGCCACAATAAAATGTTACTTTAGTTACATCTGTGTCTATTTACTTAACAAAATGTATAAATTAGGCCGTAAAAGATGGATTATCGAAAGATTAACCTTTCCTTGGTACTGCAGGAAACTAAGTAATGCAAATTCTTAGATATGTTGGGTAAAATTAAGCTTTGTTATACAGCTTCATGTTTAATTGTATCACTTTCATTGAAGGGCAAGCTTCAAATGATGCAAAAAACATATGTACATTATTATATCATTAAGGTTGTGCTATAATATTGGTATTGGTTAATTTTCATGGTATCAATATCAGTTGTGGATTGGCCTAAAATTGAATATCAGTATCAGTATCGGTATCAGATACATGTATTGGCTAATTTTGATGTTTTAAGCCTTAATCTAAGATTGAATATTGGTATGGGCAAAAATGTTAGCATCATCCCATCCTTAATTAAAATAAAGAAAAATTATCGAATAGTACATGCCCAGTTGCTTGTCAGCACTAGTAAAACTATTCTGCAGACCAAGAATACAGAGCTGCACAATGCAGAGATGCCACTGCCTAATCTAAGTAATCCACCTAAAGCATAACAAAGGGGGAATCGCTCTCTCTTTCCCAATAAAACCACAACCAGCTACTCTACACACAAGAAAGCTTGAAGACAAAGATACCAATTTTAGAACAAGCTTTTATTGGGACTACTTTTTCCTCTATACAGAACTTTATCAAGACATGACTTGATAAAGCTCTACACAGATTGAAATATCCCAATTAACATTTATTAAGTAAGTTTATTTAGGCACAGGTACACATAAGTACAATTATCATACATTGTGTAAGGTACCTAGGATAATTCGAAAAAGTCAGACAGAGTGACTTATTTCTTGTGCAATTTGTGTCCTTGTCTTTATACTTGTTGGCAATTTGCCATTCAGTGCTCAATATTGAGCACTGAATTATTTTAATTGAATTCTGGACTATAATCATTCATTTTTTTTTCTTTGCAGCTCATGCTCTCATCAGAAGAATTATGTCAGAAGACTTGCTCTCGGTACCCTAAATTCATGTAAGTGGCAAAAAAATGTAATATGTACATGTATATTATACGTATAATGTCTGCAAAATGTGTCATAAAGCATATTTACAGGTCAAAAGTGCTAAATATATAGTAGTAACACTTTTGACATTCTAAAATTTCAACATCATGACCACTACAAGTAAACACTATACATGCATACAGCCTGTGGATGTAATTAATCTCCATTAATGTAAATATTGTGTGCAGTATTATTACACAGTGCAGTAAAACCGTCACATATTAGATGTTTACTGTACTGTACTTGCATCATAATCTAATACACAACATTTCACCTTGGTAGGTACCAACCTGTTGGTATTGTATACCATTTTGATATTCAACATTTCACCTTGATGACAAATGCAATTTTCATATTTAAATCTTTATTAATGATTTCTTTGAAGACTTTGGTATTAATTATTAACAAAATGTGTATAAATTTTACAGCTGTTAAATAGTGAACTCTAGTACTTCTTGGAAATACAGTAATTATAATCTTAATGAAATGGTGAAAGTAAGATTTTTGGACCAAATATGAATGCTTTATGATGAAACTACATTAGTATCCATTATATAAAAGAAATTCACAGAAACCTGCAATGACTTTAGCAGATTTGCACAACAGGTGAACCACATAAGTGTTGAGGGTGTGTTAACTGTTTTAAATAAATCTGATTTTGCAGCACACAAGAGTTTCAACAAAGATATAATTTAAGAGTTAAGAAGATCTTTAACAAGTTATCTCCAAAATCTTATAAATTACTTGAGAGCTCACAGAAGAGGAGATATATGTGTTTTCAGTTTAAAAAATTAGGTAAAATATGAGTGCTAATATAGGAGAGAAGCCATATCAATGCTTAGAATGTCTGAAGCTTTTTTCTCGAAAATATCATTTAGAAACACATTTAAGAGTTCATACAGGGGAGAAACCATATAAGTGCTCAGTATGTCTAAAAAAATTTTCACATAGATCAGTTCTAGTAAGCCATATGAGAATCCACACAGGTGAAAAGCCATATCAGTGTTCAGTGTGTCAAAAAAAATTTTCAGATCAATCAGCTCTTGTAACTCATAAGAGACTTCATACAGGAGAGAAACCATATCATTGTTCAGATTGTTTAAAAGAATTTACACATAAGTCAAATCTGATAAAACATATGAGAGTTCATACAGGGGAGAAACCTTATCAGTGTTTAGAGTGTTTAAAGTACTTTCAACAGAATTCAGGTCTAATTCAGCACATGAGAATTCATACAGGAGAGCGGCCATATAAATGTTCAGAGTGTTCTAAAGATTTTTCACATAAATCGGCTCTAGTAAAGCATATCAAACTTCATACTGGAGAAAAACCATACCAGTGTTCAGAATGTATAAAAGCCTTTAAAGATAAATATGCCCTATTAAATCACATGAGAGTTCATACAAAAGAGAAACCATATCAGTGTCAGGTGTGTTTAAAAGACTATTCACATCAGTCAAATTTTTTAAAACATATGAAAATTCATACAGAAGGGAAACCGTATCAGTGCTCACAATGTTTAAGAGATTTTTCACGTAAATCAGCTTTAGTAAGACATACTGGTGTTCATACAGGAGAAAAACCTCATCAGTGTTCACAGTGTCTAAAAGGTTTTATGGAAAAATCAGCTTTATTAAAACATATGAGACGTCATACAGGAGAAAAACCATACCAGTGTTTTGAATGTCTAAAAAGCTTTCTAGATAATTCAGCTCTAGTAAAACATATCAGAGTTCATACAGGGGAAAAACCATATAAATGTTCAGTGTGTCTTAAAAGCTTTTCTCAAAAATATAATCTAGTAATACATTTGAAAGTTCATATCAAAGAAACACCATATCAGTGTTCAGTGTGTCTAAAAGGCTTTAACAATATATCTGGTCTTTTAAAGCATACAGGAGATCATTCAGTATTAAAGCAAAAATCAGATCTCTTAAAACATATTCGAGTTCATGGAGAAGAAAAGCCGTATTAATTAAAGTCATTTTTCTGTAAGGCATGTCTTTTAACCAGTTGAAATTAGATAAGACTTAACAAAAATAAAACTTAAATTAGTGTCATGAAAGTTATGGATTAGAAGTGGCAAAAACCTTATGATGTTGAATATTTGGGTTCTGACTGTGATGACTGACTTTGTGATATTTTCCACTGTTATGATTTCATATTCTCAGGTGTTTTGTTGCACTGGTTTTAGCAGTCAGTTGTAACTCCATAAGTTTTATACAAGAGGGGTTAAGGGATGGCAGTCTGGTTGGAAGAGGGGGCTAGGGAACTCATTATTACTTGGGAGGTTTATGGGGCTCATGGAATTTTGGGGGGCATCAGCACCCTCTTATTCCCCTTGGCACTGCCCCTGATTTCTGATAATATATCTTTATTTATCAGTTTCCCATTCTCTAACTTAAGGTTATGTATAATCTAGTTTTAAATATTAAAGATACATTCACTATCATCAATAGAGTGGCTTTTCTCAAATTTGCCTGTGTTTGATCTCTACTGCAGATATTGTGTCTAATTTCAGTGCAGCTTCAGCTGGAAAAATAATAAAACAAAAATTTAGAAGCTCTAAATATCCTTCCCTTGGTCTTCAAACTTTGTCTCAGCAATTTTATCATTTATGTATTCAGCATCAAAGTTCCTTTCATCAATCATGCGTTACAAAGCCATACCTGGAGTATACCTGGAGGGTGTTCAGAGGTCAACACCCCCATAGCCCAGTTCATGACCAGGCCTTGAGGTGGATCAACCAGGCTATTACTGCTGGCCACACACATATTGATGTACGAATTACATCCTGGCTGGTCAGGTACTGATTTTAGGTGCCTGTCTAGCTTCCTCTTGAAGACAGCTAGACTGTCTATGGGTAATTCCCCTTATGTGTGCTTGGAGGCTATAATCAGTATTAGTAAATATTAGCTATGTTAGTAAATATAGCTCCATTCATCAATCATGCATTACACAACCATACTTGGAATATGTCTGGAGGGTGTTTGGGGGTCAATGCCCCCATGGCCCAGTCCATGACCAAGCCTCATGGTGGATCAAGGCCTGATCAACCAGGCTGGTTTACCACTGGCTGCACACAAATCAATGTATGAACCACAGCCTGGCTGGTCGGGTACTGATTTTAGGTGCTTGTCTAACTCCCTCTTGAGGACAGCCAGGGATCTACTGATAATCTCCCTTATGTATGCTGGATAGGCCATAAACTGTATTGGTAAATATTGTTGCAGAAACAAGAAGTACCAGTTCAAGGTAGTATACAGTAACTTGGTACACTTTTTTACCATGCAGTAACTTTCTATACTTTTACCTCCATATAAGGCATAGTCAATGATAACCAAATCTATTCCTTTGTGTTTTTCTCAGTCTCAAAAGGAGATTCTTTAATTGATGTACTGATCAAGTGAAACTACTAAAGGGGATATGAAGAACATTCTGAAACTACATAACCAAGACAGGACTTGCAGTAAGATAAGATTTTGTTTGGATTTTTAACCTCAGAGGGTTAGCCACCCAGGATAACCCAAGAAAGTCAGTGCATCATCAAGGATTGTCTGTCTTATTTCCATTGGGGGTCCTTCAGTCTTGTCCCCCAGGATGCAACCCACACTAGTCAACTAACACCCAGGTTACCTACTTGCTTGCTAGGTGAATGAGGACAGCGGGCATAAAACATGCCCAACATTTCCAACTGGCCGGGGATTGAACCGGACACTCAAGTGTGTGAGGCGAGAGAGTTGCCTATCAGGCCACGGGACACCATGAATTCAAGTTGAGCTTATTTATTTAGAAAGAATATAAGGAAGTACTAGTTTGGGTAGTTTTTGATATAGGTTGGACTGGTATATGAGTGGGCATGGTTGGGTGTGAGTTGGACCTGCCTGGCATGGGCAGTAGGCCTATAAGGATACAAGGGTATAATTATGGATTAATGATCATAGGATATGTTAACCTGGAGTTTACCTGGAGAGAGTTCCGGGGATCAACGCCCCCGCGGCCCGGTCTGTGACCAGGTCTCCTGGTGGATCAGAGCCTCATCAACCAGGCTGTTACTGCTGGCTGCATGCAAACCAACGTACGAGCCACAGCCCGGCTGGTCAGGAACCGACTTTAGGTGCTTGTCCAGTGCCAGCTTGAAGACTGCCAGGGGTCTGTTGGTAATCCCCCTTATGTATGCTGGGAGGCAGTTGAACAGTCTCGGGCCCCTGACACTTATTGTATGGTCTCTTAATGTGCTAGTGACACCCCTGCTTTTCATTGGGGGATGTTGCATCGTCTGCCAAGTCTTTTGCTTTTGTAGTGAGTGATTTTCGTGTGCAAGTTTGGTACTAGTCCCTCTAGGATTTTCCAGGTGTATATAATCATGTATCTCTCCCACCTGCGTTCCAGGGAATACAGGTTCAGGAACCTCAAGCGCTCCCAGTAATTTAGGTGTTTTATCTCCGTTATGCGCGCCGTGAAGGTTCTCTGTACATTTTCTAGGTCAGCAATTTCACCTGCCTTGAAAGGTGCTGTTAGTGTGCAGCAATATTCCAGCCTAGATAAAACAAGTGACCTGAAGAGTGTCATCATGGGCTTGGCATCCCTAGTTTTGAAGGTTCTCATTATCCATCCTGTCATTTTTCTAGCAGATGCGATTGATACAATGTTATGGTCCTTGAAGTGAGATCCTCCGACATGATCACTCCCAGGTCTTTGACGTTGGTGTTTCGCTCTATTTTGTGCCAGAATTTTGTTTTGTACTCTGATGAAGATTTAATTTCCTCGTTTACCATATCGGAGTAATTGAAATTTCTCATCGTTGAACTTCATATTGTTTTCTGCAGCCCACTGAAAGATTTGGTTGATGTCCGCCTGGAGCCTTGCAGTGTCTGCAATGGAAGACACTGTCATGCAGATTCGGGTGTCATCTGCAAAGGAAGACACGGTGCTGTGACTGACATCCTTGTCTATGTCGGATATGAGGATGAGGAACAAGATGGAGCAAGTACTGTGCCTTGTGGAACAGAGCTTTTTACCGTAGCTGCCTCGGACTTTACTCTGTTGACTACTACTCTCTGTGTTCTGTTAGTGAGGAAATTATAGATCCATCGACCGACTTTTCCTGTTATTCTTTTAGCACGCATTTTGTGCGCTATTACGCCATGGTCCACACTTGTCGAAGGCTTTTGCAAAGTCTGTATATATTACATCTGCATTCTTTTTGTCTTCTAGTGCATCTGGGACCTTGTCGTAGTGATCCAATAGTTGAGACAGACAGGAGCGACCTGTTCTAAACCCATGTTGCCCTGGGTTGTGTAATTTATGGGTTTCTAGATGGGTGGTGATCTTGTTTCTTAGGACCCTTTCAAAGATTTTTATGATATGGGATGTTAGTGCTATCGGTCTGTAGTTCTTTGCTATTGCTTTACTGCCCCCTTTGTGGAGTGGGGCTATGTCTGTTGTTTTTAGTATCTGTGGGACGACCCCCGTGTCCATGCTCCCTCTCCATAGGATGGTAAAAGCTCGTGATAGGAGCTTCTTGCAGTTCTTGATGAACACGGAGTTCCATGAGTCTGGTCCTGGGGCAAAGTGCATGGGCATGTCATTTATCGCTGTTCGAAGTTATTTGGTATCAAGATAACATCAGATAGGCTTGTGTTAACCAAATTCTGTGGCTCTCTCATAAAAAAATCATTTTGATCTTTGACTCTCAGTCTGGTTAGCGGCTTGCTAAAAGCTGAGTCATATTGGGACTTGAGTAGCTCACTCATTTCCTTGCTGTCATCTGTGTAGGACCCATCTTGTTTAAGTAGGGGCCCAATACTGGACGTTGTTCTCGACTTTGATTTGGCATAGGAGAAGAAATACTTTGGGTTTCTTTCGATTTCATTTATGGCTTTTAGTTCTTCCCATGATTCCTGACTCCTATAAGATTCCTTTAGCTTAAGTTCGATGCTTGCTATTTCTCTGACCAGTGTCTCCCTATGCATTTCAGATATATTGACCTCTTTTAGCCGCTCTGTTATTCTTTTCCGTCGCCTGTAAAGGGAGCGCCTGTCTCTTTCTATTTTACATCTACTCCTCCTTTTTCTTAGAGGAATAAGCCTTGTGCATACATCGAGTGCCACCGAGTTAATCTGTTCTATGCATAAGTTGGGGTCTGTGTTGCTTAGTATGTCTTCCCAGCTTATATCGGTTAGGACTTGGTTTACTTGGTCCCACTTTATGTTTTTGTTATTGAAGTTGAATTTGGTGAATGCTCCCTCGTGACTAATCTCATTATGTCGGTCTGGGGCTCCGCGCATACATGTCTGAACCTCAATTATGTTGTGATCTGAGTATATTGTTTTTGATATGGTGACATTTCGTATCAGATCATCATTGTTAGTGAAGATGAGGTCTAGTGTGTTCTCCAGTCTAGTAGGCTCTGTTATTTGCTGGTTTAAATTTAATTTTGTGCAGAGATTTAAAAGCTTGTGTGAGTGTGAGTTTTCATCAGAGCTGCCTCCTGGTGTTATTACTGCAACAATATTATTTGCTATATTCCTCCATTTTAGGTGCCTTAAGTTGAAATCCCCCAGGAGCAAGATGTTGGGTGCAGGAGCTGGCACATTTTCCAGACAGTAGTCAATTTTTAACAGCTGTTCCTGGAATTGCTGGGATGTTGCATCCGGAGGCTTGTAGACTACCACAATGACTAGGTTTTGGTTCTCGATCTTTACTGCTAAAACTTCCACTACATCATTTGAGGCATTAAGCAGTTCTGTGCAAACAAGTGACTCTACAATGTACAGGCCAACCCCCCCCCCCCCTTTTGCCTGTTCACTCTGTCACATCTGTATAGGTTGTAACCTGGGATCCATATTTCGTTGTCCAAGTGATCCTTTATGTGGGTCTCAGTGAAAGCCGCGAACATTGCCTTTGCCTCTGCAAGCAGTCCACGGATGAAAGGTATTTTGTTGTTTGTTGCTGGCTTTAGACCCTGTATATTTGCAAAGAAGAATGTCTATCGGACTGGTGGTATTGTTGGTACTGGGGGGGGGGATTTTTTTTTCCAGCATTAGTATCTGCATCTGTTGGTTTGTAGTGGAGGCCATCGACTGTGGTTCCACTCCAGGAATGACTGGATTTGGTGTACGATTTCTGCAATTTCCTGCCAGTTTTTTTTCCTTCCTGGCACTAAAAAACCTCTCCCTCTTGAGTGGCTGTGGCTACCCAGGTTTTCCCATGGCCTAAGATAAGATAAGATAAGATTTCGTTCGGATTTTTAACCCCGGAGGGTTAGCCACCCAGGATAACCCAAGAAAGTCAGTGCGTCATCGAGGACTGTCTAACTTATTTCCATTGGGGTCCTCAATCTTGTCCCCCAGGATGCGACCCACACCAGTCGACTAACACCCAGGTACCTATTTGCTGCTAGATGAACAGGAAAACAGGTGTAAGGAAACGTGTTGAAATGTTTCCACCCGCCGGGAATCGAACCCGGGCCCTCAGAGTGTGAAGCGGGAGCTTTAGCCACCAGGCCACCGGGCCTGGATGTTTTGTATCTTTTTGTTCCCTTTAGATGGTGTGCCTGGCAATTTAAGTTATAGCACAGTCTTTCCTGTACTGAAGAGGTACACATTTCAGGGTGAAAAAGCTTACAGGAAGGGAGTTTGCATTTTCCTGTTGTCATATGGGCACGGCATTTTCTAGGGTGGTCATAGTTGCACGTCCCATCTGTTTTTCCAGATTTCCCATGCCTGCAAATACCAAGTGCATAGTATGTGCACAGGCTTGGTTTCTGTTTGCCTTGGGTTTCTGTGACTGTATTCCCTGTTGATGCATGTTTACCTGTCTTATTCCTATCCTCCCTAGCATCAACAATGGAGCTCCCACCAGTTGTTTTAAGGAAGAGGAAGGAAGATTAAGGAAATTGTATTAATGTTGGTAGAATTACCAACAATGGCTTAACAAAGCTCCTGGAGAGGGAAATGCTGCCACAGCAAAATGTTGCATGAGCTGCACTTGTGTCCTTTTACTTAACAAGAATAAGGAAGGACAGAAAGATATTGAACTAGGTTTTGGGCAGATAGAAGAGACTAGTGGCTCGGCTCTTCCACTGTGAAGTATGAAATGAAATTATGTATAACACAGAAGATTGGCAAGTGAGAAATGAGTACATAGGTTCCACTGTTCTTACATATGTACATATAACAACAAATACAAACTTGTAATCCAAACGCAGACATAATAATATCGTTATTTCTACAAGTACATGTACAAGGTATCCAGGCCTAGCTGACATCAATGACATAGAAAGTCGCTTGTTATGCAGAGCATTTCAGGCAAATTAGGTCATTTTGTCCCAGGATGCAACCCACACCAGCCAACTAACTCCCAGGTACCCATTTTACTTATGGGGAACATAGACAACTGGTGTAAGGAAACACAGCCAGTGTTTCTACCCTCGCCAGGAATCGAACCTGGACCCTTGCCGTGTGAAGCAAGAGCTTTGGTCACCAGGCCACAAGGCACATATGAGGCCCAGTAGGCCTGCAGCAGTGTTCATTCGTATGTAACAGTGGATTCTAATTGGAAAAATTTGTATTTAGAAAGGGCATAGGGAAGTGCTTGTTTAGCAAACCATGGTACGGGTAGGGCTGTAAAACTCCAGGCCAGTGCGTAAGCCCCTGGGTCAGCTGGCTACAATAAGATTCATCCAACTAGGTATATTTATACACCATAGAAAGGTTAGCATGGGCCCCACTATGACCACAAATGACTTGTTACAGATGACTCTCCCGCCAGAGTGGACGTGACAAACTAGCTCAAGTCCCCTCATAGCTGTCTTCATGACTCACGAATTCGTAATAACCTGCCTAGTATGGATAAATAGGCCTAACTGCAGTTCCTATATCTTAAGTATTTTAAACAAAATATAAAATTGTTAAGAAATAAATATTTTCAATTTACATATAGAAGATCATAACTATAATAATTTAGTGATCACAGAATTGGTAAGGAGATAGGAAAGACTGGAGTAGGATACGAGCTGCTGAACAGAGCAAGCTGATTGGTCCAAGGTCATGGCGAATAGAAACCATTTATCGTATTTCGTCATCACTAATGGTTTTTCAGATGATCCAATCAGAACTTTCTTGAAAGCAAATAAACTGGGGTTATAAAAGGCCTAAAAGAAGGAAAAAAAGCTAACAGTGGTGCTGAAGCTCGGGTCTTGGCCAACAGTCTACCCTAATCCAGCTGCAAAATGGCAAATCAACAAAGATCACCGGTTAAGGCTACTGTGAAACGGCGACAACGCAAGAGAGAAACTTTCAAACTTTTTATCTACAAGGTGTTGAAAAATGTTGTACCAGCACATGGTATATCTTCAAAAGCCATGGATGTTATGGAATCTTTCGTGAACGACATTTTTGCTCGGCTGGCAGAAGAAGCTTCCCATCTCGCGAGAATAAGTAAAAGGTCCACCATCACTGCCCGAGATATTGAGGCTGCTGTTCGTCTCTTGTTAGTCGGAGAACTTCAACTACACGCAGCGTCTGAAGGTACAAAGGCCTTCGCTAGATACGCAGCCAGCAAATGAACCTCCTAATGACTTGTAATGTTTAGACCATCCAGGCTCCTTTTGGAGCCACAAATTGTTACTAAAGAGTAAAGTTTGACCAACTAAACGTACGTGCAAGAGCACTCAATAATATATAGCTGATGTGAGCACACCAAGGTTTTAAAATTAAATTCTTGTAGGCCATACAGCACACCAAGGAGTGATCACTGAAATAGATTAACGTTTACGTATAACAGTAGCCATCAGATGGATCTGCGCTCCAGTTATAGTTCTTTACGCTACCTGTTTGACCTGCATAACATTGATAAATTCTTTATGAAATGTAGACAACCTTCTAACTCGAGCTGTCCGCTTAACCCGATCATTTCACAGCTGAAGTAGTTTGCCAAAAGCCTCTAAAATCACTCAGCAGCTGGATTGTCCTAGCACTTCCCTACTTATAACATTTCCTCTCCAAATCTATTTTTCCCGTCCCCGCTTCTCCGCTCAGCCCTACAAGTCTTTCCTTTTTTGTTCATTCGACGAATTAGTCTCCGAGGAAGCAAGAAAATCATGTTATAATTTAAAGTAAAATGTTGATTTCAATTGACCATACATAGAAATTAATAGATAATTTGCATACCATTTACCTGGAGAGAGTTCCGGGGGGCAACGCCCCGCGGCCCGGTCTGTGACCAGGCCTCATGGTGGATCAGAGCCTGATCAACCAGGCTGTTACTGCTGGCTGCACGCAATCCAACGTTAGAAACAAATTCCCCTCAAGGAAGGTTCCTTGATGTTGGTGAGGGGCTCTTGATTTAGGGAATTGGATCTGTGCTCCAGTTCCCCGAATTAAGCCTGAATGCCTTCCACATCCCCCCCCCCAGGCGCTGTATAATCCTCCGGGTTTAGCGCTTCCCCCTTGATTATAATAATAATAATAATAGAAACAAATTCAATACCTATGTAAATTTGTGGCAGAAGTATGTTCACTAGAAAGCCACGTATTATGCTTGACTTTTAATCATGGTACCGAGGGTTTGGTTATATAAAATACTAAAATTTCAAGCATTATTACCCTTACATAAAAAGTAAACCTACTGGTGCGGAATTCCCGTGAATCATCATGAAAAAACATTAGGATCGCCATATTTATTTAACAAAGTTATTGCAGATTCGCCGGTATAATCGCCAGGTCCGGGCCTTTTTCAAGAGGTGGCCCGGCCTTGGTTCCCTGTCCCTCCCCAATGGAGATCGTAGGGAAACTGGAAAGATGAGTCAGAGTTTCTGCGACTGCACAGGGCGAGGTCTACAGAGCTTCGCTTCGCTTCTTAGCGCTTCTTTTTGATTATAATAATAAAAATTCGCTTCGCTTCTTATGACCAGTCTTTGGTAAGATGGGTAAGGATAGAAATATTGGAAAAGGGTGGGAGGGGGGAGTGAGGTAGGATATAAAAGAGAAGTGGCCCAACCACTTTATTGCAATTTAAAAAAAATGTATGTGTAATAATAGAAAATTCTTGAAGGGGTATAATACTAACCCATCAGAGTCACATAGATATAACAGATATATAGGTACATGACTGAATTGGTAGTAGACATACAAATTGCATTTTTTTTTCTACGGAGCGAATCCACTGAGCACGAATCAGGAAGTTATCCTTCGTGGCTCATCCTGATTGGTTAAAAAGGGTCTCTTATCTGCTCGTCTATAAAAACAGCTCATTAATTTTATTTTAGGCATTCCTTACACCGTTGCCGAACCTCCAGTCGGAGCACAAACCAACATCGCCATGTCAGGTCGTGGAAACTTCAACATTACCAAGACTAAGAGAACCTTGACTCATCGGGCCGGTCTTCAGTTCCCGGTTGCCAGGATCCATCGCTACCTCAAGGTTGGTAGCTACGCCCCGCGCATCAGTGTTGGTGCAAGTATTTACTTCACGGCGGTGCTGGAGTACCTGACTGCTGAAATTTTGGAACTTTCTGCCAACGCAGCTAAGGACAGCAAGAAAATGCGCATCACCCCACGTCATATTCTCCTAGCAATCCGCCATGATGATGAGATCAACACACTGTTGCAGCAAGTTACCATTCCACAGGGCGGAGTCGTACCCTACATCCACTCTTTTCTCTTTGTCACGAAACGCAACCCTCCCGCTCCCAAGGGTGAGGTCGTACCCAGCACCAGCTCCGTTAACCTCAAGAAACCAAAATGAAAAGCCATAGAACTGTTAAGTGCAAAATCAAAGTAAATTGCATTAAACAAAAAATAATTAAAAAATTAAAAGAAAAAAAATTAAAAATATTAAAACAAAAAATAAAAAAAAGCTCCCAAAGGAGCACACATGTTAAAGAGGCATAGTTTACCATAGTAATTACAATGACAGCTGCAGGATATATAAAATAAAACAACAGCTATGTGAAATACTGTACTAATATGTCCTCTCAAGGAAGGTTCCTTGATGTTGGTGAGGGGCTCTTGATTTAGGGAATTGGATCTGTGCTCTAGTTCCCCGAATTAAGCCTGAATGCCTTCCACATCCCCCCCCCCAGGCGCTGTATAATCCTCCGGGTTTAGCGCTTCCCCCTTGATAATAATAATAATGTACTAATATGTACTAGACTAATATGGTCTAGTGGCTAACGCGACGGGCTGGAGTTTTGAGACTGACCGCGGGCTCAATCCCGGCCGGGGTATGGTTTACCTGGAGAGAGTTCCGGGGGTCAACGCCCCCGCGGCCCGGTCTGTGACCAGTGTTGAGCCAATAGCATTCCCAACGTTCTTGATTTTTTTACATACTGAACATGAAAGACTTATTATCTTATTTACTGCATAACTTACGTAGCAGAAAATTTATCATTCGACTATATATGCACTATAATCAGTAAGACTGGAATTCACTTTTACACTAACATCGGTGATACTTTATCATACACAATTGTTTGCTATGCACAACAAAACTGCGCGGAAGCAACAGTAAATTCTAGTTCCAGAAATATATTTTTAGGAAACATGATTATTTTTGTGTACCATTTTACCGGTTGATGTTTTAGAAAGGCTTATAAAAGTTTTTAGCACAAAAAATTTATTTGCATCCCTTGAACAAAAAAAAAAATCGAGGACCCAAATGGAAATTTCACTTTGACTTTTTTGTTATCCTACATAATTTACACTGATAATTGTACTTATGTGTACCTATGCCTTAATAAGCTTACTAACAAACTACATAATATTAAAGAAATTAGGTAATAGAAAACAGAAGCCCCTAAATTCAATGTTATCGAAAAGATCATTATTAGATAATGAAATTCCTGTGAAATATTATGAAGAATATTCTGATTCCCTATTGGACAACTAACGTTAAGTCTAGGAACTACCAAAGGCTTCATGAAACTACCAAATCAAGAAGACTTCTGTTTTCCGATTGGCTATTTAGCGGTACACATGGGAACCAATCAGAAAAATGAATCATGATGCCACCTGATTATTACGTGCATAGGTGTAGGCTATGCCTTGAGACAGCAGAGAATAAATTAATGTATTTCCTCTCACCAAAAATAAGCTGGCATTTACAGTATATATAGCCTATGTACAGTGAGGCAAATGCAAACATAAGATACGGTGATCAATGAGGCAAATGCCTGCACAAGACAAGGTAACCATGGCGACCAGCAGGAAAAGGAAGTTTGCCAAGTTGTTTCATCGAACCTGATCCCCCCCCCCAAAAAAAAAAAAAAGTAGTTGCAACTTGTATATCTACTACCAATTCACCCCTCAAGGAAGGCTCCTTGACGCTGGTGAGGGGCTCTTGATCTAGGGAATTGGATCTGTGCTCCAGTTCCCTGAATTAAGCCTGAATGCCTTCCATCCCCCCATAGGCGCTGTATAATCCTACGGGTTTAGTGCTTCCCCCTTGATTATAATAATAATAATAATACTACCAATTCAGAGTCATGTACCTATATATCTTATATCTATGTGACTCTGACGGGTTAGTATTATAACCGTTCAAGAATTTTCTATTATTACACATACGTTTTTTAAATTGCACCTAAGTGATTAGGCCACTTCTCTTTTATATCCTACCTCACTCTCCCCTCCCACCCTTTTCCAATATTTCTATCCCCCCCCCCCTCTCCGCTGGGGGAGAGGGGGAGGGCGTGTGTAGTAAACAGTGACCCTCTCATAACTCCTCACCCCTGCGCGTCTCCCCCGCCTCACCCACCCAACTCCCAGCGCCACCCCATCTGTAGAGGGTACTTCTCCCCTAACCCACGATGTCAGTGATGGCACTGCAGGGAGTGCCGGGCTCACAGGAACTTCCACTACAGGGACAGCATCGTGGAGTTCGATCGCGAGGCAGCTGTCAGGTGTGCCACAGGCAGTGTGTACTCAGCTCCTCAAGCTTTAACATCCGTACACACGAGGGCCTAGGATCTTCAGTCAACTTGGCGTCCACCAGGACGTTGCCATGTCCCTAGGGGAGCTCTCCATCGGGCTGCAAACGGAGTCACTGGCTTCTTGGACCTCTTGGGGAGGGTCGACGGTGCTCGTGCAAGCAGCAGATCCCTGGGCAACTTGCTGCTGTTTCAATGGCTGTCTGCCGAGGAGAGACAAGCACCTAGCAACATCTGTTGGGGCAATGGATGAATTCCCTACTATGTTTGTTAACTGCTCATTACTCTGTAATTTGTCTATGATTGTAATCATGTCATAACGTGTTTATCATTCATTACCTTTGAAACTTGTCATGATTGTGACCAGTTCTACCTGGAGCTCATTACCTTCGTAAATTCTCATGATTAATGTGTTTATGATTCATTACCTTTGCAATTATTCATGAGTGTGACCAGCTCTACCTGGAGCTCATTACCTTTGTAACTTGGTCATGATTATGACCAGATCTAGTTCATTACCTTTGTAACTTGCTCAGCTATCAAAACTTTGGAGTCCAGTCTCTGGACCAATTATGTACCTCTAATCTTTTGACTACCGCCCACAGGATGGGTATGGGGTGCATAATAAATATTAAACTAACTAACTTACCCATCTTACCAAAGACTGGTCATAAGAAGCGAAGTGATTGCCCCCCATTCCTCCAGGCGCTATATAACCCATAAGGATTTAGCTCTCCCTCGTGAATAATAATCCAAGTTGATAGCTCTGTCTTTGTGGAACGAATTAATAACTCAATGAAAGGCTGCAGTATAGAGGATTTCGTTCTAGAAATTAACAGAGCAAATTAGTGAATTAGTCATTAGAGCTCAATATTCAAAATCCATCTACTAGCCTTACCAGTGTAAGTGGCTTAGCTCTCAAAATTTTGGGGCTCAAGTCCTGACCCATCACTAGTCAACACTCATTTTCTGGCCATTGATATTACACTGATTTTAGGGTAAGTTTATGGTGTTAATTCCGAATATGCCGTCGATTTTGCTTGATTGGCTTTAACTTACAGATCGCATTAATCACATTGGTCTGTGACCAGGCCTCATAGTGGATCAGGGCCTGATCAACCAGGCTATAACTGTATTAATATTGATAGAATTACTGACAATATGTTAAGCAAAAGGACACAAATACAATTAATGTGACATTTTATTGTGACAACGTTTCGTTCTCCAGGAGCTTTATCAAACTCCAATAAAACGTCAAATTAGTTGCATTTGTGTCCTTTTATTTAACAGGCTGTTACTGTTGGCCGCACGTAAACCGACGTATGAACCACAGCTCAGCTGATCAGGTACTGACTTTAGGTGCCTTTCCAGAGCCTTTTTAAAGACAGCCAGGGGTCTATTAGTAATCCCCTTTATGTATGCTGGGAGGCAGTTGAACAGTCTTGGGTCCCTGACACTTATTGGTTCCTCAAATCTTGTCCCCCAGGATGCGACTCACATCAGTCGACTAACACCCAGGTACCTACCCACTTGCTAGGTGAACAGGGACAACAGGTGTAAGAAAACACATCCAATGTTTTCACCCTTGCCGGGGATCAAACCACGGACACTCAGCGTGTGAAGCGAGAGCGTTGCCTACCAGGCCACGGGCCATCTCAGCGCAGGAACTCAAGCTACTACCAACTGAGGTAATATTAGTTGTATAATTATACGACCCGAGGACTAGTCCTTCCGTTTCCTTCAATGTCTTGAATGTGCATGTTTTAGTTGTGCCACCTGAATGGTCAGTTTATAGCACAGGAGACAGGATTACAAAGGTCACTATGGGTCTTTATCAAACCCCACTAGTTATTTCATACATTACAATTACTTAGTATAGCAAATATACAAAATACAGTATGGAATACAATCTCATTTTTTTATCTTGTAACCACTAGGGAAAACAGTGATCATATCTGGGTTAACAGTCTCATCATTAAAATCATTCATCTTTTCTACGCAAAATGTGGATACACTCTCAAGCCCTCGGATATCTTTCCATTAGGGGTCAAGGATCCCAATGGAAATAAGTCACTTTGACTTTTTTGAGGTTATCCTGGGTCAATACACATATGCTTCTATGTATGATAATTTATGTAACTATTTATGTATACCTGTACCTGAATAAACTTACTTGCCATATTCTGTATTATTATCACAGGAGCGCTAAACCTGTAGGGATTATACAGTGCCTGTGCGGGGGTATGGTAGGCATTCAGGTTTAATTCAGGGAACTAGACCACAGATCGAATTCGCTAGATCAAGAGCCCCTCACCAGCGTCAAGGAACCTCCCTTGAAGGGCCATATCCTGTAGAGTTTGCATGGAGGTATCTCTGATAGGTTGGATGTTTGGACACTAAGTTACAATGTCGGTAACAACGTGCTAGTTCTTCCACCTGGTATACTTGGGAACTTCTAGATTTTGTTTCTATTTGTTAAAGGCCTCCTTTTCCCCTTTTTTTTAATGCCCACCTTTGGGCAATATTTCTTCCCCGTAACTGATTCTCTATCATCTATAAATGCTCTCAACTCATTGAGTATAAATTGTGGCATGCTTGCATCAGAAGCCAGAACACAAAATGGTTATAAATGACCATAATTTTTAAAGGGGTGCACCGGTAAGCCAGCGGAAGGCCTCGGCCAGATGACCAAAAGCTCCAAAGGCAGATCATCATCTTACTAAGACCCGCGCCAGGAAACATTTGTCCTGTTTCCTGACGAACCTTACCTAACCTAACCTATCGGAAGCCAGACATAGGTGTGCTAGGATTGTGGACAGTGAAGTCAGAGTGCACCTCCTGTGGATTCCATTTAACATTGGTCTTCAGATGTATGATAGATCTAATGAATTGGATAAGTTCTATGCTTTCAAAGAAGGATTAGATTACAATCTTGGCTTGTCAGCAGTTTGAGAACAATAATACAAAAAGAAGTTCAACTGAACTTTATTGATTTAAGATTGAGGGAGACTGACACCAGTCAGTCCATCTATCATTCTATCATGCAGAAGGAGCCACATGTCTATGGTGCGTCGAACAAAATAAGCCGACTCTTGGATGTCACTACCGCCCGGCTCCGGCTGGGTTGTAAATATCTTTGGGAGGTTAAATCACCACCTCCAGATGTAGACCAAATGAAACTTAAACATTGTTAGATGGTTTATTGTCAAACCTTGCGTCATTATGTACTGGAATGCAATAAAATAAATAAATTAAGAGACAACTCACTCAGAAATGTTCAAGATATATCAGAGTATTTTATCCACAGTGGTATATTACAAACCATTTTTGAAAAATATCCTGACTTTGCATTAATAACTCATTGCAATTGTGTCCAGGTGTAGATGTGCGAATGGTTCTTTACCTTTGTAATTTGTTCATCTATCAAATCTTTGCGGCCCAGTCCCTGGACCCATTATGTACATCGGTAATCTCTTTGACTGACGCCCACAGGAAGGGTATGAGGTGCATAATAAAGATATTAAACTGAAAAATAATAAATACACTGGGTAGCAGGGCACGATATTGTAGAAGCTGTCTATCTCCCTTACAAACCCAACAAAACCAATACTTTACTCCAACCTTGCCACCCAACAATAACAGTATCCGGTGATCACGATCACGATGTGCAGGGAATTTCTGAGCCAGCTTTCGTCGAGTGTAAAGGTTTCTCTCTCGCCAAAGTATCAGTGACAGATTTTCCCCCGTTCTTCCTGGGTCGTTTGTCCTCCTGTCATTGGCTCTATTTTCCGCCCTGCGGATAATTCTTTAACGGTTTTGGTGGAAAACTGGTTACTGAACTTATGTACGAGTGTGGGGCGTCTCGCTCTGCTGGGGCTTGGCAAGGGAAGTCCACCTGGTCTGATTGGGAGATCTAGCTTCTTCTATTTCCGAAGAACTGTTACTTTTCTTTCATTGCCCAGCTTTGGGCAAAGTATCTTCCTCGTACATCGGGTAGGCAGGCTCGATACGGCGTTAAGTATCAGTGGCCCTGATATACCCAACAATAACAGGTAGACTACTGCGCCACCTTCGTCGGGTGTGGATGTCTCTCTCTAGCCTGAGCATCAGTGGCAAATTTTGCTCATTCTCTCTGGGTGATTGTCCTCATCTTGTTTTGTCCGCCCGGCACGTTACATGAGGGGCACCTGTCATCGGCTTAATTTCAGCCAGCTCCTTTTTGTTGAGAAGCCGGTTACTGAAATCAGGTGTACTCACCTTATTGTCCATCTGTGCTGAGGATTGGCGAGGGACCCATCTGGTCAATTTGGGAACTTATAGTTTGTGTCTATTTACAAAGGGACTCCTGTTACCTTTTCTTTTATCACCCAGTTTGGGTAATATATCTTCGTACATCTGGAAGGAAATGTGTAGAATTTTTAACACATACTTCCTCTCAGTTTTTACACAGGAGGATACCAGCGATATTCCAGAAATGATAAATTATGTAGAACAGGACGATAATAAACTGTGCACGATTAGGGTCACAAGTGACATGGTGCTTAGGCAAATAGATAAATTAAAACCTAACAAATCCCCAGGCCCTGATGAACTGTATGCAAGGGTTCTAAAGGAATGTAAAGAGGAGCTTAGCAAACCTTTGGCTAATCTTTTCAACGCTGTATAGTCCTTGTGGCTTAGCACTTCTTTTTTTATTATAATAATAATAATAATCTTTTCAACATATCACTACAAACTGGCATGGTGCCAGATAAGTGGAAAATAGCAAATGTGATACCTATTTTCAAAGCAGGTGACAGGTCCTTAGCTTCGAACTATAGACCAATAAGCCTAACCTCCATAGTGGGAAAATTTATGGAGTCAATAATTGCCGAGGCAGTTTGTAGCCACCTTGAAAAGCATAAATTAATCAACGAATCTCAGCATGGTTTTACAAAGGGGCGTTCCTGCCTTACGAATTTATTAACTTTTTTCATTAAGGTATTTGAGGAGGTAGATCATGGTAATGAATATGATATTGTGTATATGGACTTCAGTAAGGCTTTTGACAGGGTCCCACATCAGAGACTATTGAGGAAAATTAAGGCACGTGGAATAGGAGGAGAAATTTTTTCCTGGATAGAGGCATGGTTGACAAATAGGCAGCAGATAGTTTGCATAAATGGGGAGAAATCAGAGTGGGGAAGTTTCACGAGCGGTGTTCCACAGGGGTCAGTGTTGGGCCCCCTGCTGTTCACAATCTACATAAACGACATAGATGAGGGCATAAAGAGCGACATCAGCAAGTTTGCCGATGACACCAAAGTAGGCCATCGAATTCATTCTGACGAGGACATTAGAGCACTCCAGGAAGATTTGAATAGACTGATGCAGTGGTCGGAGAAGTGGCAGATGCAGTTTAATATAGACAAATGCAAAGTTCTAAATGTTGGACAGGACAATAACCATGCCACATATAAACTAAATAATGTAGATCTTAATATTACGGATTGCGAAAAAGATTTAGGAGTTCTGGTTAGCAGTAATCTGAAATCAGGACAACAGTGCATAAGTGTTGGCAGTAAAGCTAATAGAATCCTTGGCTTCATATCAAGAAGCATAAATAATAGGAGTCCTCAGGTTGTTCTTCAACTCTATACATCCTTGGTTAGGCCTCATTTAGATTATGCTGCACAGTTTTGGTCACCGTATTACAGAATGGATATAAATGCTCTGGAAAATGTACAAAGGAAGATGACAAAGTTGATCCCATGTATCAGAAACCTTCCCTATGAGGATAGACTAAAAGCCCTGAATCTGCACTCTCTAGAAAGACGTAGAATTAGGGGGGATATGATTGAGGTGTATAAATGGAAGACAGGAATAAATAAAGGGGATGTAAATAGTGTGCTGAAAATATCTAGCCTAGACAGGACTCGCAGCAATGGTTTTAAGTTGGAAAAATTCAGATTCAGGAAGGATATAGAAAAGTACTGGTTTGGTAATAGAGTTGTGGATGAGTGGAACAAACTCCCAAGTATAGTGATAGAGGCCAGAACGTTGTGTAGCTTTAAAAAAAGGTTGGATAAATACATGAGTGGATGTGGGTGGGTGTGAGTTGGACCTGATAGCTTGTGCTACCAGGTCGGTTGCCGTGTTCCTCCCTTAAGTCAATGTGACCTGACCTGACTGGGTTGGGTGCATTGGCTTAAGCCGGTAGGAGACTTGGACCTGCCTCGCATGGGCCAGTAGGTCTGCTGCAGTGTTCCTTCGTTCTTATGTTCTTATACGTCTTTAGCGGTCAGTGGCACTTAATAATCCAACAAGAAGGTTCATTACGGTTTTATCTACAACTAAGTTAGGTTAGTAAGACTAATAATAAGCTTTATTTCTACATGTACAAGATATACAGACCTAACTGACAGAGCATAAATTAAGTCAGTTTTGTTCCAGGATGTGACCCATACCAGTCGACTAACACCCAGGTACCTATTTTACTGATGGTGAACAGGGACAGTAGGTGTCTTAAAGGAAACATGTCCTAATGTTTCCGCCCATACTGGGGATCGAACCACGGACCTCAGTGTGAGAGCTGAGTGTGCTAGCAATCGAGCTACGGGACAACTAAAATTTATCTACTTACAGGCACAGATAAGTGCGGTTACACAAATTTAATTGACTAAAATGATGATACGTAGTAACATATGTAAATTACCTACAATAATCCCCCAAAAAGGCAGACGAAGTGACTTGTTGCCATTGGGGTCCTTGTAATAATTTATTATCTTTAAAGCCTAGCATTATGGGGTTGATATGTAAAAAGTTTTGAATAAGTATTGTACAAATTTTTATTTTGGGACACTATTAGTCTGACATTTTTGAGTTAACCTAGATAATTTACACATGTTACTATGTATGATAATTATACTTATGTATACCTGTGCCTAAATAAACTCATTTTATTTAAATAGTGCATCACACTGATAGCTGAGGATATAAGTTTGGTTAAGTTATTTTAGGGTAGTTGAATTTCATTAGGTTTTATTACATTTTTTACTATTTGTACAAGAAAATACTGTGCTATCTTAACCACAAAACCAACAGTATTTTACAATTCATACAATAATTAATGACAAAATTGGCTGGGTAACAGTTGTAACTATTATCTTAGGTTCTTATGAGGGAGATAACCTGCACTGTAAAATACAGCAAACCAGCCTGTTCTCATATGATGTGTATTTTCCTTCATTTCTTAACATACAATGTATTGTATGTGGTTATCAGGTTAACATTACCTCAGTATAAAATCCTGTTTTTTTTTTTTTTTTGTGGCTAAATGGCATATAAACATATTTTTTTAACCTAGCTTAGCTAAACTGCAGTGACTGAATTAAGAGAAATGAACTAAATTTAAAATTAATTAATCTATCTCATTGTCACAAGGACCAAGAGCAAAATGGGCAGGAAGGTGTGAAGGGTTTTTGGATATTTATCAACTTACTGTGTGTTTGTAATCTGTTTAAGATCCAGTGTCAGCTTTTCTATCTTTTATATATTTTATTAAATAAAATTTTTATTATTTTCATTTTTGCTATTAGTACTACTGCTGCTAGTACTAGTACTATTAGTGCTACTACTGCTAGTACTAGTACTATTAGTGCTGCTACTTACTACTTGTAGTAAATAAAATTATTAGTACTACTAGTAGTACTACTGGTACTACTGGTACTACTACTAGTACTACTAGTACTACTACTACTACTACTACTAGTACTACCAGTACTACCAGTACTACTACTAGTACAGTACTACTACTAGTACTACTACTACTAGTACAGTACTACTACTAGTACTACTACTAGTAGTACTACTAGTAGTACTACTACTACTACTAGCTTCATTGCTACCACACTCAGCTCACACACTAAGGTCTAGAGTTCGAATCTCCTCCAGTACAGCTGGAAAACATTAGGGACGTGTTCCCATAAGCCACTTGCTGTCCCTGTTCACCCATCAGTAAAATGGGTACCTGGGTGTCAGTTGACATTTGTGGGTCACATTCTGGGACAAAACTGACATAATTTGCCTGAAATGCTCTGCATAACAAGTGGTTTTCTATATAATAGTACATATGTTAATGATGTCGGCTAGGACTGTATATCTTGCGCATGTACTTGTAATAAATAAAATTATTATTATTATTATTATTAATACAAATACAGTGGTACCTTGAGTTTCAAACAGTTATGTAAGTGTATTTTTGTAAGTGCTTTTGTAAGTGTATTTTTGGGGGTCTGAAACAGACTAACCTAATTTTCATTATTCCATATGGGAACAAATTCTTTGGGTATTGGCACTCAAACAGCCTTCTGGAACCAATTAAGTTTGTTACTCGAGGTACCATTGTACTATTATTAACCCTTTCAGGGTCGAGAGGCCCTCTCCTAAACTTGTTTTCAGGGTCGAAAATTTTTTGGAAAAAAAAATTATTTTTTCTTATGAAATGACACCAAAAGTATGAAATTTGATGGAACACTTACGGAATTATGCTCTCGCCAAGTTAGCAGTCTCGCCGATGTTTACGCATCGGCGATTTCACCCAATTTGAGCCCTATTTTCGGCCAATTCCTGTGTACTAGTCGACAAAAATCTTGGTTAAAATAAAAGTAGAAAATAATACAGGTAATTAACACTGATTGGATAGTTGAAATTGGTAAATGGGTGGTTTCTTGTACTCATTTGATAGAAAAAATGGAGTTCTAGCGAAATAATCGCTAGAACTCCATTTTTTCTATCGAATGAGTACAAGAAACCACCCATTTACCAATTTCAACTACCCAATCAGTGTTAATTACCTGTACATATTATTTTCTACTTTTATTTTAACCAAGAATCTGTACCCATTTGACTGTACTGCAGAGAGGCTTAGTATATTGCTTGAACATATAATTACAATACTTAATTTTTTACTTTTGCATATAAATTAATCAGATATTTAGAGCAGTTAATAAATAAATTGAAATAGGTAAGAGATGCTGTTACGGCAATATGCTGAAGCATGCTCGGTATATTTGGTCCAAGCTATTTGGTCGTTACCTGTGGGTGACTAATACTGTCAGCTCTGGAGGGCTGTTAGCCATAGGGGATGGCATACAGCAACAGATAGAACATGTGCAAGGCATCAGCATCACTCCTGGATATGACTGGGGGCGAACAGGAAGACTCTTTCTTGTGGGCCTTAGTCTAGGCCCTCCACATCATATATTTTACCTCTGGTTAGACAAGGTACGTATTATATTCCAAATGTTTCATATTTAATCTCCTTTCTTTGTAAAACTTTATACTTAGTTGTAAGTGACATTATTTGATAATTTAAAATATTTTTTTTTACATATCTGAACAAGAATAAATAGCTCTGGCAATAAATACAAGAATAAATAGCTCTGGCGATAATCACAGATTGCCAATTTATACATAAAACATATATCATGTATCAGTAAATTATCTCTGTGCATTAAGGATGAAAAACAGTGATATGATTTTTCTTACAATTGCTATACAGTACTGTATTGTAGTGACCAAAGAATAAAAAAATTATGTAGACAAAATAATTTTGATTGTATACCACATAAAATATTAGACATAAGATGTTGCAGAAGGATAGGTTAGACACTAAAAGTTTTCATGAAGTTCTTTTGTACATTATTAGCTGTTTAATCTTAGCTTATGAATCTTAATAACCTTTAAAACTTGTACTGTAGCATAATCTTTCATTACATAACAAGGTGTATACTTCCTTTCAGGTTTTACCAAAAAGGAATCCCAAAGTAATTTTTAAAAAGATCATGGCAGATCAATTCCTAGCAGCACCATTCTTTGCTGTGAACTTTTTCATAGGAGCTGGTCTTTTAGAAGGAAAGTCACTTAGTGGATCATGGCAAGAATTCAAGGCTAAATTCCCAACAGTATATGCTGTAAGTTATGTTACTTTATTTTGTCATATTGTTTATAATTATTCCTAATGAAGATTTAATTTAAAGCTTATAGCAGCTCTGTTAGCTGCTTATGAGATAACTTATTAGTTATAAAAGGGGTCTGTGAGATTTTTTTTGCACAGGTATTTAGAAATTTTAATTTAGTTAATGCTGAAATTTATTGTCAAGATAATTGGAATAAATAGTTAAGCAAACTATATTAACTATTTTTGCATTTTGATGAAATGCAAAATCAGTAGCTGGGCTAATGTGGTACATTAAAAGATGAACTGATTAAAGAAGCTGGGAAAAAGGAATATTTCAGAAACTGCACTCTAATTAATGGCTGCACATTCAAACATAGCTGCCTACTTTAACATTCCAGGTCCCCATTAGAAGCCCATAGGAAATTGTTGAAAGTGCCTCTAACCAATAGGGAAACTCATGACGAGATGGGATGTGAAGCTATGTAGCTCTAGTCTTAGGAGTGGGTGGTTCCCAGTTGCTCATAAGCTGGAATTATGACTGTTTTGGCTCACTTTCAAAAGTTAATTTAAAACTAAGAAAGGTGCAGCAAAAGTCATAAGAGTAAACCATACCCTGGCCGGGATTGAACCCGCGGTCAGAGAGTCTCAAAACTCCAGCCCGTCGCGTTAGCCACTAGACCAGCTAGCCACAATCGTGTCATTACGATTTTGTGAGTCATAAGAGTAAAAAGCTTTAGAAAGGACCAGTCTATATCATACTGTACTAGAAGCACAAATACAAATTTTTATTTCTTTGTGGTGCAAAAATAATGAAGTTTACATGTAATAAAACATTGGTAGGCACAAAAGAAAGCCACTAGTATGCAATGCATTTCAGGCAAACTAATTACACATCCAAATACAGTACATGTAGGATATCAAAAAGGTATTTAATTTTTATGTGATGCCCATGGGTTCTATCGTAGTTCTCAAGAGTCATAAATTCTGGATGAGCACTGTATTACAGTTGAACTTTCTGAAAATGTAGTTTGAACAGTAGAATATGTGAATGGTTTATTTATTTAGTAAGTTGAAAGATTTGAATATGGATGGTTTGTGCTGTTTGTTGATCCCTATGCCCAGATACCATGTTTGCTGTAAAATATTGATATATAAATATAGTACAGTGGACCCCTGGTTAACGATATTTTTTCACTCCAGAAGTATGTTCAGGTGCCAGTACTGACCGAATTTGTTCCCATAAGAAATATTTTGAAGTAGATTAGTCCATTTCAGACCCCAAGACATACACGTACAAACGCACTTACATAAATACACTTACATAATTGGTCACATTCGGAGGTAATCGTTATGCGGGGGTCCACTGTATAAGGTAAGTAGTGTAGAGCAGGGTATACAGTACTAAAGCTTTGAAATTACTGTATATTGAATTTTGATGTGTTACACAGTACTGAATATTGAATTTTGATGTGTTACCCAGGTGTAGATAAGTGTGGTATAGGGTAAGCAGTGTACAAAAGGAAATACAGAATTGTGACTTTCTATATTTCACAATATTAAATGTCTGAAAGTACAGTAGGACCCCATACCTGCAGGTCCAATTTCTATGGTTTCAGTTATCCACAATTCACTATTGCCCAAGAATAACCCTTGTTTTTGCTTAATAATGGCCCCAAAGTGCAAAAAGTAGTGATGGAGGCAGTTCTTCAAAGCCTAAAAGAAGCTGTGAAATGCTTCCCATTAGTGAAAAAGTGCTAATTCTCGACTTATTGTGCATAATTTATCAATTAAACTTTATCAAAGGTATTTATGTAAATGAAAAACAACTTACATATTGGGTTCGCTACTATCCGCAGTTTCGGGTATCCACGGTAGATCTTGGAACATATCCCCTGCAGATACAGGGGTCCTACTATACACTAGGAGTTTCTCACTACTGTGTTTTATATACTGCCATGACACTGCTTTTGGGGGATTCTGCAGAGAAGTTACAGAGGTTGGTTGATGAGTTTGGTAGGGTATGTAAAAGAAGGAAATTGAAACTGAATGTAGGAAAGAGTAAGGTGATGAGGATAACAAAAAAAATTAGGTAACGGAAGATTGGCTATCAGATTGGAGGGAGAGAGTATGGAGGAGGTGAATGTGTTCAGATATTTGGGAGTGGCTGTGTGAGCAGATGGGTCTATGAAGGATGAGGTGAATCATAGAATTAACGAGGGGTAAAAGGTGAGTGATGCACTGAAGAGTCTGTGGAGACAAAGAACTTTGTCCATGGAAGCAAAGAGGGGAATGTATGAGAGTATAGTTATACCAACACTTCTATGGGTGTGAAGCATGGGTTGTGAATGTTGCAACAAGGAGAAGGCTGGAGGCAGTGGAGATGTCATGTCTGAGTGCAATGTGTGGTGTGAATATAATGCAGAGAATCCGTAGTTTGGAGATTAGGAGGAGGTGTGGGATTACCAAAACTATTATGCAGAGGGCTGAGGAGGGGTTATTGAGATGGTTTGGATATGTAGAAAGGATGGAACAAAATAGAATAACTTCGAGAGTGTATAGATCTGTAATGGAGGGAAGGCAGGGTTGGGGTTGGCCTAGGAAAGGTTGGAGGGTGGGGGTAAAAGAAGTTTTGTATGTGAGGGGCTTGGACTTCCAGCAAGCATACATGAATGTGTTAGATAGGAGCAAATGGAGACAAATGGTTTTTAGGACTTGACGTGCTGTTGGAGTGTAAGCAAGGTAATATTTATGGAGGGATTCGGGGAAATTGGCAGGCTGGACCTGATTCATGGAGATGGGAAGTACAGTGCCGGCACTCTGAAGGAGGGGTGTTAATGTTGCAGTTTTATAACTGTAGTGTAAGCATACCCCAGGCAAGACAGTGATGGAGTGAGTGATGATGAAAGTTTTTCTTTTTCAGGCCACCCTACCTTGGTGGGAAACAGCCGATGTGCTAATAAAAAAAACAATGTGTTCATCCATGGGCAATCGTTTATCATTGATGAGTTTTAGGTTCGTCTCATTTTCTAACACCTTCAGAAAATTGCTAGCCCATTCAACTCACACACTAAGGCCCAAGGGTTAGTCCCTGGTACAGTTGGAAACATGAGGATATGTTTCCTTAAGACATCTGCTGTCAATATTCACCTATCAGTAAAACAGGTACCTGGGTATTAATCGACTGGTGTGGGTTGCATCCTTGAACAAAATTGACCTAATTTTCCCAAAATGCTCTGCACAACAAGGGAAAGATAAACACATTAGCAGTATAATGTGATCCTTTCTTGACAATAAAGGATCACGTTATACTGCTTATGTGTACTTTTCCACTGTGTTGGTATTTTATACCATTTATTTCCATACAGGAATTTGACTGAAAGTTGAATTGTTTGCTAGTTAATTTGCTCTCAAGTGTATTATCTGTTTTTTCCTAATGGCTTTTACCATTAGTTTTACAAAGCTTTTCTGTGAGACAGGCCGGTAGTTCAGGGAATACTTGCTACCACCCTTATTTTTTGATATTGTCACAGTTTGTCATATTTTTCATGTCTGCCAGTTTCTCTCTTGTAGTGAAATTCCAAAGTACTCTCATGTTTGCATTTGCAATTTCCCAGAATTTGAGTATTATAAATGAATGTTGTACTGTACTTCAGATATTTAATATAGCAGAATCTAAGTACAATAATTTTTTTTTCAGTTTGACTGGTTAATATGGCCACCTACCCAGACACTCAATTTTTACTTTGTTCCTGCAATGTACAGAGTGTTGTATATTAATGTGATAACAGTTGTATGGGATGTTTTCTTGTCCTATATGAAACACAAGGTAGGTGACTAAGTTTTTTGCATAAAAATACTTCTGCAAGAATAAAGATCTTTTGGTGCTTTTTATCTGTTAGGCATATTGTATATGTTAATCTCATTATTTTAGGTTTAAACCTTATGACAATTCCAAATTTTTTTCTGATACTGATACCATCAAAATAGCACATGGTATAGGAGGAAGTATTCCCTCATGAATTGAGGCATGACTGACAAATAGGCAGCAGTTTATATTAATGGATTGAAATAGGAATGGGGACTAGTCACATTTGGTATTCCACAAGGATCACTGTCACATAAATCTGTTTTGAACTCGGCTCCCTCAAATAAGCCGTGTTAAATTTTGGCCAAGATATGAGTGAATGGGTCTATGCAGTGAATGTGCATAGTTTAAAAAGTCTTGCCCCATACAGTGCTTGATGGGAAAAGCAAATCTCTGACCTTGTGTTTGGTTTAAAATAATGACAGAAGACTTACTAGCAAAATAAGATAGAAATTGGTGTGAATTGAGCACCAGAATTGGCTTGAGATAGAACTCAAAGTCAGAAAAATTGCAAGTCTCAACACTGTCAGCCCTCTTAATTTTGGGGGCTGCAACAGTGTAAAGGTTAATTTAAATAATGATAATATTTACTACAGTTATTATTATGAGAAATTTATCTCATTTTTATGACATTAATGAAGTGTTAGACATGGAGCCCTTTCTATTTTTTTTTTCAGGATCAAGTGGCACAGAAGAATACAATCAAACATGATAGAGAATGAAAGAAAATGCTTTTTGAATGCCAGCATATAATACTATAGTCAATCAATCAAGTGTTGGGTTTAAAACTAACATTAAACTTAATTAAAAATTCTGTTTAAACATTCAGTTAATGAAACAGTTAAGAATGAAGATACCATGGCTTCAGTGTGTTGACAGTAAACACCATTAATCTCCTGATATAGGCTGCAAGATTGTTTCAGCAGAACCAAGGATGAGTTGTAATATGTTACTTTGTATCCTTATCATTGCTAAGTATTTGTTATGATGAAACATTCCATTGTTATTACTGTTCTGTAAAAATTATATCTGCTGAATATAGAGATGCATAGGAAAGCACGTACCATTATTATTTGGTGTGCGGAAAAGTTCATTTCTCACACTTAGTTGCAAATAATTGCCCAAAAGAATAATGTCTATTATACTTTCCAACCTTGGTGTGCAATCAGTAAATTGGAAAATAATGACTTGTAACAATACCCAATCCAAATTGGGTGATCAGCAGCAGCAGCAGCACTTGAAATAAATGACACAGTAGTAAGTAGCCTATTTGAGGGTATATGGTAATTGTGTGTGCCTCATCTTTCCTTGAACTTAATTGGCAACTTATAAAGCAAACATTTTGTACTGCACTCAACAAAATTATTTTTATAAGCATCAACACTGTTATTCCATATCCAATTTTCATTATATAGAAGGGTCTTACCTGATGTAAATGGAAAAATATTGTAGAAAATTAAGGCTAAATATGCTAACTCTCACACCTAACCTTTAATAAAATTGTATCATTAATTTACAGGGAAGCTCCAAACCCATATGGTTACTACAGTGGCTGAGGAATGGGAGACTTTTAGGATTCATATAGGGAAGGGGAGGGTAGTCCTATTCCTTTGAATTAATTCACCTTCTTTGAAGGGACAGAAATTGTGAGTTAGTCTGTTAAGATTTTATTTAACAAAATTTATATAGGTTTTGATTTATATTGATTTTTTTTCAATATATAGGATGCAGTACTTTATTATTTTAGAGAAAATTTTGCATGTTTTTCAAATGCAGCAAGAAAAAGATTAGGTACCAAAAATCATTAATTGATTTTTAATGACAAACAAATCTAACCCCAGCAGAATATATACTTGTATATATTTTATAAATGGTAGAATATGATTTTGGTTATACAGTATATTTAAGAACAGAAATTTTCACATCTTATAAATTCTGTACTGTACTGTATTCTTTATGTAAATTTTTATAATAAACAAGAAAAATTATTATTTCTCTCTACACTAACCACTTATTTCAGATTTGCTTAGTGATTATCTGTAATACAGTTACTAGGGTATTGTGTGATGGTGTGGAGGGTAAATACAAGTATGAAAGGACCCCTGATTCTGGATTACTGTAATGCAACTTATCCTAAGAACATAGCATCCTACCCTCTCCCCCTCCTTTAAGTAAGTTATGTAAAGAATAATTTTTTTCTTTAAATTTTGCTGCAGGGTTTTAAGAAAGGGGACATTCTGTTATTCCTTGTTTTCCCACCAACTGCATTGCTGAAGTGGTCTACAAAACCAAAAGAGGATTTAACCATCAGGTGAACCTTCTGATGACACATTGGGTGGTACATCCAGTGGCTGTCTGGTTGCAAGAATATTACTGAGGTCACTTGTTGCAGATCCAAGGTTGGTGAATGAAGGTGTGTAACTTTCAGCATTCTTGCCAATTCGCCCTCACTCATTGCTAGCCGAATTTTGCTAGCGACTCAGTCTAAATGAGTATTTTTTAAGCCTTGCTCTGTTAATTCTGAGTAAGGCATCCTGGGACTGTGTCATAAGAAAGCTGGCACTACTTGTCGCAGTGGTGTGGATAATAATAATGACGTAATAAAATTAAATGCTAAACCCTGCACAGACATGATTCATGGTAGCAGCCCAGAGCCAGACTTAGCTGGACAACCTGTTGTTGCTGGCCCTGATTCTGTCCTTACAAGTATGAAAGGAGAAAGTCATAGTTTGGGTTATAAATCAAGTTGATATTCATAGCCACCTGAAACTAATATCTATCATCAAATTATGTAGACACTTTCATCTGTCCTTTCCATGATCAATGGAAATACTGCAGAAACTGAAAAACTTACATTTGACAGCCACTGCTGAAGTGAAGCAATAGTAATCATCCCTGCAACAGTGTATTTTTGGCCAACAACTGCACATCTGTCTTTGCCCACACTGCTCATGATCCCACCCCCTCCTGCAAACAATCGAAACCTCATTCCCCAAATTACTCTCAATAATATCCCACTTATTCCCATTTGTAACATTACCCCATGAGGACATTTTTACTGTATTTTATTGTTCATATTTTCCTTTCAACCATAATCTATCATTCACTGTATTATTATTATTATTATTTTTTTTTTTTTTTTTTTTTTTTCAACAAGTCGGCCGTCTCCCACCGAGGCAGGGTGACCCAAAAAAAGAAAGAAAATCCCCAAAAAGAAAATACTTTCATCATCATTCAACACTTTCACCACACTCGCACATTATCACTGTTTTTGCAGAGGTGCTCAGAACACAACAGTCTAGAAGCATACACATATAAAGATACACAACATATCCCTCCAAACTGCCAATATCCCAAACCCCTCCTTTAAAGTGCAGGCATTGTACTTCCCATTTCCAGGACTCAAGTCCGACTATATGAAAATAACCGGTTTCCCTGAATCCCTTCACTAAATATTACCCTGCTCACACTCCAACAGATCGTCAGGTCCCAAGTACCATTCGTCTCCATTCACTCCTATCTAACACGCTCACGCACGCTTGCTGGAAGTCCAAGCCCCTTACCCACAAAACCTCCTTTACCCCCTCTCTCCAACCCTTTCGAGGACGACCCCTACCCCGCCTTCCTTCCCCTATAGATTTATATGCTTTCCATGTCATTCTACTTTGATCCATTCTCTCTAAATGACCAAACCACCTCAACAACCCCTCTTCTGCCCTCTGACTAATACTTTTATTAACTCCACACCTTCTCCTAATTTCCACACTCCGAATTTTCTGCATAATATTTACACCACACATTGCCCTTAAACAGGACATCTCCACTGCTGCATTTACCACCCAAGCTTCACACCCATATAAGAGTGTTGGTACTACTATACTTTCATACATTCCCTTCTTTGCCTCCATAGATAACGTTTTTTGACTCCACATATACCTCAACGCACCACTCACCTTTTTTCCCTCATCAATTCTATGATTAACCTCATCCTTCATAAATCCATCCGCCGACACGTCAACTCCCAAGTATTATTATTATTATTATTATACTGTATTAATGTAATGTACTAAACCCATAAGGATCATTCAGTGTTGCATGGCAGAAATGAGAGATGATTGTGAAGAAAGGGGAACAAGTAGAGATGTTGAAGGAAGGACATCAGCTGAAAAGATGGGAGTCACAGACGATGCAGTAAATCAGCATGTTAAAAAAAAAAAAAACACCATGCATGTGTGCATTCATGCAGTAGAGATGGGGGGCTTTCTGAGGGAAGGGAGGGAAAAGTGTGCAAGTCATGACATTGAAAACAACATCTATCTTGTCTGATGTGATAGTTTTGCTTTTTATTCACAGTTTTGAAATTTCCAGATTATTCTTTCATGAACTATCAGAATCTCTAAAATCTGATTTTTTTTTTTTCAACAAGTCGGCCGTCTCCCACCTTAAATGCAATTTACCAATGAATTTTATTCTTAAACAGTATTCTTCTTCTTTCAACGCACCGGCCATATCCCACCGAGGTGGGGTGGCCCAAAAGAAAAAAAAAGAGTTTCTCCTCTTACATTTAGTAATATATACAGGAGAAGGGGTTGAAACAGTATCATGATTATTATATTCACCAAAAGTTTATTTAGGTTAGCAGTCTTGAATAATTTCTGACTGTGTTAGTAGCTTAATAGATCAGATAATAGATAATACAGCCTCTCCTCACTTATCAACAGAGTTCCGTTACTAAGACCACGTCGTTGCTAAGTGAAGAGCATACCGTAATGGTAGTGAGTTTGTGTCAGCCATCTTTGATATTATTTTAATGTCACTTTTGCACCATTTAAAACATTTCTGGTATATTTTTAAATGTTTATACAGTAGTGTACTATATATTGATATAACCAAAACAGAAGAAATCAGCTCTAATATACATAATTTAGGTATGAATACTGGTCAGAGAGTCCGTCGTAAGTCCGAGGCGTCGGTAAACAAGTACTACGTCGCAAAGTGAGAAGAGGCTGTATACAAATTTGTTGAATGAACACTGCACTTTTTGCTATTTTTTTTTTTCTAAGTATGTTATTTATTTTAATGTTTTTTTTTCAGCATTCTAAAAAGAATGCTTGTCAGTTTGTCAATAAGGCAAACCTATGGTTAAAAGCATCTTTTCTATCACCTTTTTGAACATCAGTAAAACATATTTATCATTTTAGAGATAGTGTGCAAAATAAGTCAATTTGATTTCACTATGTATTTTATTAATGATTTTCTACATAGTACAGTTCTGTGCTTCTTTTGTACTTGTTGACAGTTCTGGGCACCAGATAATGTTTGCAGTACAAACAGGTTTGCATCCTATTGTGAAAAGTAGATAAGTCATATGAAATACAAAATATTTTTTAAGTTTTCTTGGAAAATCATAATCTAGTATATAGGCACATTATTATATACTCTTCCTGAGCATCAGCACATTAATCATAACTCCTACTTCAATGCTGGCTGGCAAGGCAGAGGTTAATCCAAAAACCCACCAATAAAGCTGACAGTCCCAAGAATCCATTACCATGTATGCCAGGCTAATGGAAGCACCAGTGTGACAAGCAATAGCTGAATCACATTAAGGAAATTTACACAATGAACTGATAAAAAATGACTAATTAAAACATATCTCTAAACAGTATTTTAATTTAATACACCTAACCATAATTAACTTATACAGTACCATATATCATGTATCATACTAAGCAATCAATTTTTCTATTTACACTAGATTATTACTACATTTATAGGAAAGCACTAAAACAGTAAGGATCACAGAACAACAAATGGTATAGATGAAAGAAAGCAAGCATGTACACACACACACACACACTTCACTCATGAGGTGCTGCAAAGAGAACACTGGCAGCAAGGAAGGGATTGGGGGAGGGGGAAAGAAACAGAATGTACAGGAGGGTCCTGCATATACAACACCCTCTTTTTGGTGTTCCATGTTTTTGTTGGCTTTCAACTGAGCCACTATTCATTATGTTCTGTATTTTCACTGCTTTTCCACTATTTTCGTATAACAATTGCGTAAGGGAAGGGCAACTGGCACCATTAACCTTTAAACTGTCCAAACGTGGATCTACGTTCACTCACATCCTGTTCTTCTTCACTCCTAAAAGATGGTATACCTCCCTGGCCAGTGCATGAAATTACCACTTCCCTTTCTTCGTCGACATTTAAAAGTTCCTCAAAATATTCTCGCCATCTACCCAGAACCTTCATCTCCCCATCTACTAACTCCCCTACTCTGTTTTTAACTGACAAATCCATTCGTTCTCTAGGCTTTCTTAACTTGTTTAACTCACTCTAAAAAAATTTTCTTATTTTCATTAAAATTTCTTGACAGTGCCTCTCCCACTCTATCATCTGCTCCCCTTTTGCACTCTCTCACCACTCTCTTCACCTTTCTTTTACTCTCCATATACTCTACTCCTCTTATAACACTTCTGCTTTGTAAAAACCTCTCATAAGCTAACATTTTCTCTTTTATCACACCCTTTACTTCATTCCACCAATCACTCCTCATTCCTCCTGCACCCACCCTCCTATAACCACAAACTTCTGCCCCACATTCTAATTCTGCATTTTTAAAACTATTCCAACCCGCTTCAACCCCACTATTACTCATACTTGCACCAGCCCACCTTTCTGCCAATATTTGCTTATATCTCACCCGAACTTCCTCCTCCCTTGGTTTATACACTTTCACCTCCCTTTGCTTGTTGTTGCCATTTTCCTCTTCCCATCTACCTCTTACTCTAACTGTAGCTACAACTAAATAATGATCCAATATATCAGTTTCCCCTCAATAAACGTGTACATCCTGGAGCCTACCCATCAACCTTCTATCCACCAATACATAATCTAACAAACTATTTTCATTACGTGCTATATCATACCTTGTATATTTATTTATCCTCTTCATAAAATATGTATTACTTATTACCAAACCTCTTTCTACACATAGCTCAATTAAATGCTCCCCATTTTCATTTACCCCTAGCACCCCAAATTTACCTACTACTCCCTCCACAACATTTTTGCCCACTTTAGCATTGAAATCCCCAACAACCATTACTCTCACACTTGGTTCAAAACTCCCCACGCATTCACTCAACATTTCCCCAAATCTCTCTCCTCTTCACTTCTCTCTTCTCCAGGTGCATATACGCTTACTATAACCCACTTTTCACATCCAACCTCTATTTTACTCCACATAATCCTTGAATTAATACATTTGTAGTCCCTCTTTTCCTGCCATAACTTATCCTTCAACATTATTGCTACTCCTTCTTTAGCTCTAACTCTATTTGAAACCCCTGACCTAATCCCATTTATTCCTCTCCACTGAAACTCTCCCACCCCCTTCAGCTTTGTTTCACTTAAAGCCAGGACATCCAGCTTCTTCTCATTCATAACATCCACAATCATCTCTTTCTTATCATTTGCACAACATCCACGCACATTCAGACTTCCCACTTTGGCAATTTTCTTCTTCTTATTCTTCTTAGTAATTATTACAGGAAAAGGGGTTACTAGCCCATTGTTCCTGGCATTTTAGTTGACTTTTACAACACACGTGGCTTACGGAGGAGAGATTCTTATTCCACTTCCCCATGGATATAAAAGGAAAAGTAATAAGACCAAGAACTATTAAGATAAAATCAAAGAAAACTCGCATGAGTGTGTATAAATAAACATGTACATGTATGTGTAGTGTGACCTAAGTGTAGAAGTAAGTACAGTATTTACATAAATGCACCAACACGGGTTATATTGCAAAGTACAGAAAGAGAATACATTAAGGGCAGCACATCAAAGGAGAGCAATAAATGAAGTCATCAGGGATGCACAACACACAAAGAAGACAGTGAACTAAAACCATAGTGTTAAACATCTGGGCAGCATCCATCAAACAGATTAACACCCAATCCACCAGCAAATCACAATGATGCATGAATAGCATCATTGTGATCCATTCACTAGAGAAGCATGTTGTTCACTGATAGATCAAAGCTCTAGAAGCAGGCTCGAACCTGAGGTGACCAAAAGTGAGAGATAAAGGTCTTCATGCACAGCAAACACATAGAGGCAACACAGACAGGTGATGTAGCAGCAGGCTCACTAAGATGTAGTTCTACAGTTTACTATTCCTACAAGGGCAAAAAAAATAAAAAATACTTTATGCAAACAAGGTGTCAAGCCTCAAAAATTTAGCGGTAATTATCAAAGGATACATATAAGTGAAGGTAAGCCTGTGAACATGGAAATTCCAGTCATGAAGCCAACATATTCAAGGGCTGTTAAAGCAAGGCCAGCTATCAGTCCTCCAAGAAATCTGCAAGAAACAATATATCTTGTTTAAGAACATTATTATTTTTTATTTATTTTCTAATGATAACCTACAGTATCAGTCACATTTCACATTCTTAGCAGGCTCACAGGAGCTAAAATATTCAAGCATATATTACTCCACAATTTTTTGCTGGATCACCTCCATTACTATTACACAGTAATCAAAACTAAGCACCAACCACTGGGGTCATACAGCATGGCCAAATCACGTCCAATGTTAATGTTAAATGTTAAATAGAAAATTATCAGCCAGTTTAGTGAACACTAAGGGTTTGAGATGATCCCATAAATATAATAATATCTGAGCATTTAAAATGTGTAAACTAAATGTAATAATTAATGATTTTGCTTTTAAAATTATTACATCATAAATTACTATTACTAATATTTTTTTAATACACTGCCAGTTTCCCACCAAGGCAGGGTAACTCAAAAAATAAGAAACATTTTCATCATCGTTCACTCCATCACTGTCTTGCCAGAGACGCGTCTACAGTTAAAAGACTGCAACATATCAACACCCCTCCTTCAGAATACAGGCACTGTACTTCCCACCTCCAGGACTCAAGCCCAGCTAACCAGTTCCCCTGAACCCTTTCATTAATGTTACTTTGCTCATAATCCAACAGTACATAAAGCCATAAAAATCATTTGTCTCCACTCCTATCTAACATGCTCACGCATGCCTGCTGAAACTCCAAGCCCCTCACATACAAAACCTTCTTTACCCCCTCCCTCCAACCTGCTAGGAAAATGATAGGATGGATAATGAGAACCTTCAAAACTAGGGATGTCAAGAACATGATGATTCTCTTCAAATTGCTTTTTCTTTCTAAGCTGGAATATTGCTGTACACTAATGGCCCCTTTCAAGGCAGGCAAAATTGCAGACCTGGAGAATACAGCCTCTCCTCACTTAGTAACATACTCATTTACCGACAACTTGGACTTACGATAGGCTCTCTGACCAATATGCATACCTAAATAATGTATATTAGAGCTGATTTTCTCTATTCTGTTTATTACAATATATAGTACATTACTGTATAAACATTTAAAAATATACTAAAAATGTTATAAATGGGAAAAAGGTGACATTAACCCTTTGACTGTCGCGGCCGTATATATACGTCTTACGAGGTACCGTGTTTGACGTATATATACTCATAAATTCTAGCGGCTTCAAATCAAGAAGGAGAAAGCTGGTAGGCCCACATGTAAGAGAATGGATCTGTGTGGTCAGTGTGCACCATATAAAAAAATTCCTGGAGCACGCAGTGCATAATAATAAAAAAAAAAACTGACCGTTTTTTTAAATTAAAATGCCGACTTTGTGATCTATTTTCGTATAGTATTTATGGCTGTATTCTCGTTTTCTTGGTCTCATTTGATAGAATGGAAAACATATTATAGAAATAGAGGTGATTTTGATTGATTTTACTATAAAAAGAACCTGGAAATGGAGCTCAAAGTACGGGAAATGTTTGATTTTTGCCAATGTTCAAAAGTAAACAAATGATGTCATTGTCCAATAAATGTCCAACTAGCCATTCTAATATGCAGTCATGAATGGGTTCATGTTATTTACACAATTATTACAGTATTGCAGGAATCTGCATAATAGTAAATCTTCTATTTTTTGTTTGAATAAAAATTCAAAATAGAAAGCAAGAGTAATATCAGAGGGGCCTGGAGACATGACTGATGAACAAAGAAAATGTTATTTTAGAGCCAGGAATGTCTGTATTGTTCATTCTGGACCTTATTTTGAAACTGTCATATTTTTTAATTTTCATGAAATTGGCCAAATTGCCAATTTCTGACCACTTTATTGGGTAGTTGAAATTGGTAAATGGGCAGTTTCTTGAACTCAATCGATAGCAAAAACGAAGTTCTAAAGAAATAGCTATGAGTTTGTTCGACTGGAACAATGGAATTAGCTGAAAATAGGGCTCAAAGTGGGCGAAATCGTCGATTTGTAAATATCGCCGAGGTCGCTAACTTCGCGAAAGCGTAATTCCGTCTGTTTTCCATCAAATTTCGTTTTTTTGGTGTCATTACAATCGGGAAAAGATTCTCTATAATTTCATAAGAAAAAATAATTTTTTTTTTTTTTAAATTTTGCGACACCAGGAGACACCTCAGGATTGGGGGTTGCGACAGTGAAGGGGTTAAAAACAATATCAAAGATGGTTGACACAAACCCACTACCATTATATGTAGTATGCTCCTTGCTTAGCAATGAATTCGTTTACTGACGTGGCCTTAGGAATGGAACTCTGTCATTAAGTGAGGAGAGGCTGTATAGAGAGAACTTTCACAGCACATATATAAGTATGATGAAGCACCTAAATTACTGGGAACGGTTGAAATCCCTTGATTTGTACTCCCTGGAATTCAGGCAAGAAACATATATACATGATAATATACACTTGGAAAATCCTAGAGGGACTAGTCCCAAATCTGCACACGAAAATCACTCCCTACGAAAGCAAAAGACTTGGCAGATGCAACATCCCCCCAGTGAAAAGCAGGGGTGCCACGAGTACACTAAGAGACAACACAGTAAGTGTCAAGGGCCTCCCTGGCTGTCTTTGAGAAGGAATTGGACAGGCACCTAGAGTTGGTACAAGACCAACAGGCTGTAGCTCGTATGTCAGTTTACGTGTGGCCAGCAGTAACAGCCTGGTTGATCAGGTCCTGATCCACCATGAGACCTGATCACAGACCAGGCCGCGGGGGCGTAGATCCCAGAAACCCCGTCCAGGTATAACCTTTCCTAGGACAACCTCCCTACCCCTCCTTCCTTCCACTACAGATTTATATACCCTCAAAGTCATTCTATTTTGTTCTGTCCTCCTTCAATGTCTGAACCACCTCAACAACCCCTCCTCAGCCTTCTGGACTTTTGGAAACCCCGCAACTCCTCCTAATCTCCAAGCTACAGATTCTCTGTATGTATTCACACTACACATTGCCCTCAGACACAACACCACTTCCTCCAGCCTTCTCTCTGTTGCAACATTCACCACCCATGCTTCACACCCATTTTATATTCACAAAAAGCACTAAACCCATATGGGTTGTTCAGCCTTATTACAGCAAATGATGCTTTGGCATCTTAACAGGTAATACTACTGTAGTGATTCCATGCTATTTATATTCGTCAGAATATAAGGATTCCAAACAATTTATACCTTGTACTACCATAAGGTGATTCCAAGTTGTTGTTGAGGTGGTTTGGTCATTTAGAGAGAATGGATCAAAGTACACAGAATGACATGGAGAGCATATAATAAATCTGTAGGGGAAGGAAGGCAGGGTAGAGGTCGTCCTCAAAAAGGTTGGAGGGAGGGGGTAAAGGAGGTTTTGTGGGCGAGGGGCTTGGACTTCCAGAAAGCATACATGAGCGTGTTAGACAGGAGTGAATGGAGACGAATGGTTTTTGGGACCTGATGAGCTGTTGGAGTGTGAGCAAGGTAATATTTAGTGAAGGGATTCAGGGAAACCGGTTATTTTTATATAGCCAGACTTGAGTTCTGGAAATGGAAAGCACAATGCCTGCACTTTAAAGGAGGGATTTGGGATATTGGCAGTTTGGAGGGATGTGTAACAGGATGGTATATATATAATTGGGCCCTGATATTATATTCTATAGGGAGTTTATTATATTATTTCAGGTCTCTTTTTATATTGTATCTTTATACAGTGGACCCCCGCTTAACGATCACCTCCAAATGCGACCAATTATGTAAGTGTATTTATGTAATTGCGTTTGTACGTGTATGTTTGGGGTCTGAAATGGACTAATCTACTTCACAATATTCCTTATGGGAAAAAAGTCGGTCAGTACTGGCACCTGAACATACTTCTGGAATGAAAAAAGTTCGTTAACCGGGGGTCCACTGTATATGCTTCTAAACTGTTGTATCTGGGCACCTCTGCAAAAACAGTGATTATGTATGAGTGAGGTGAAAGTGTTGAATGATGATGAGAGTATTTTCGTTTTAGGGATTTTCTTTCTTTTTGGGTCACCCTGCCTAGGTGGGAGATGGCCGACTTGTTGAAAAAAAAAATAAAGTACGTACTACTGTAATTACAGTACAACCTTTATACTGAAGAGAATATTTGGATACAGTGATTTTCAGGATTACCATTATTAATATACAGACGTTATTTGCTCTATGATGGTTCAATTTACAATACATGTTTTTTTTTTTTTCAACAAGTCGGCCGTCTCCCACCGAGGCAGGGTGACCCAAAAAAAAAAAAGAAAGAAAATCCCCAAAAAGAAAATACTTTCATCATCATTCAACACTTTCACCACACTCGCACATTATCACTGTTTTTGCAGAGGTGCTCAGAGTACAACAGTTTAGAAGCATACACATATAAAGATACACAACATATCCCTCCAAACTGCCAATATCCCAAACCCCTCCTTTAAAGTGCAGGCATTGTACTTCCCATTTCCAGGACTCAAGTCCGACTATATGAAAATAACCGGTTTCCCTGAATCCCTTCACTAAATATTACCCTGCTCACACTCCAACAGATCGTCAGGTCCCAAGTACCATTCGTCTCCATTCACTCCTATCTAACACGCTCACGCATGCTTGCTGGAAGTCCAAGCCCCTTGCCCACAAAACCTCCTTTACCCCCTCTCTCCAACCCTTTCGAGGACGACCCCTACCCCGCCTTCCTTCCCCTATAGATTTATATGCTTTCCATGTCATTCTACTTTGATCCATTCTCTCTAAATGACCAAACCACCTCAATAACCCCTCTTCTGCCCTCTGACTAATACTTTTATTAACTCCACACCTTTTCCTAATTTCCACACTCCGAATTTTCTGCATAATATTTACATCACACATTGCCCTTAAACAGGACATCTCCACTGCCTCCAACCGTCTCCTCGCTGCTGCATTTACCACCCAAGCTTCACACCCATATAAGAGTGTTGGTACTACTATACTTTCATACATTCCCTTCTTTGCCTCCATAGATAACGTTTTTTGACTCCACATATACCTCAACGCACCACTTGCCTTTTTTCCCTCATCAATTCTATGATTAACCTCATCCTTCATAAATCCATCCGCCAACACGTCAACTCCCAAGTATCTGAAAACATTCACTTCTTCCATACTCCTCCTCCCCAATTTGATATCCAATTTTTCTTTATCTAAATCATTTGACACCCTCATCACCTTACTCTTTTCTATGTTCACTTTCAACTTTCTACCTTTACACACATTCCCAAACTCATCCACTAACCTTTGCAATTTTTCTTTCTCCCATAAGCACAGTATCATCAGCAAAAAGTAACTGTGTCAATTCCCATTTCGAATTTGATTCCCCAAAATTTAATCCCACCCCTCTCCCAAACACCCTAGGATTTACTTCCTTTACAACCCCATCTATAAATATATTAAACAACCATGGTGACATTACACATCCCTGTCTAAGACCTACTTTTACCGGGAAGTAGTCTCCCTCTCTTCTACACACCCTAACCTGAGCCTCACTATCCTCATAAAAACTCTTTACAGCATTTAATAACTTACCACCTATTCCATATACTTGCAACAACTGCCACATTGCTCCTCTATCCACTCTATCATATGCCTTTTCTAAATCCATAAATGCAATAAAAACTTCCCTACCTTTATCTAAATACTGTTCACATATATGCTTCAATGTAAAAACTTGATCTACACATCCCCTACCCACTCTGAAACCTCCTTGCTCATCCACAATCCTACATCTGTCTTACCTCTAAGTCTTTCAATTATAACCCTACCGTACACTTTTCCTGTTATACTCAGTAAACTTATTCCTCTATAATTTTTACAGTCTCTTTTGTCCCTTTCCTTTATATAAAGGGACTATACATGCTCTCCGCCAATCCCTAGGTACCTTCCCCTCTTTCATACATTTATTAAACAAAAGTACCAACCACTCCAACACTATATCCCCCCCTGCTTTTAACATTTCTGTCATGATCCCATCAGTTCCAGCTGCTTTACCCCCTTTCATTTTACGTAATGCCTCACGTACCTCCCCCACACTTACATTCTGCTCTTCTTCACTCCTAAAAGATGGTATACCTCCCTGACCAGTGCATGAAATTACTGCCTCTGTTTCTTCCTTAACATTTAAAAGTTCCTCAAAATATTCTCGCCATCTACCTAAATACCTCCATCTCCCCATCTACTAACTCCCCTACTCTGTTTTTAACTGACAAATCCATACTTTCCCTAAGCTTTCTTTACTTATTTAACTCACTCCAAAATTTTTTCTTATTTTCATTAAAATTTCTTGACAGTGCCTCTCCCACTCTATCATCTGCTCTCCTTTTGCACTCTCTCACCACTCTCTTTACCTTTCTTTTACTCTCCATATACTCTGCTCTTCTTATAACACTTCTGCTTTGTAAAAACCTCTCATAAGCTACCTTTTTCTCTTTTATCACACCCTTTACTTCATCATTCCACCAATCACTCCTCTTTCCTCCTGCCCCCACCCTCCTATAACCACAAACTTCTGCCCCACATTCTAATACTGCATTTTTAAAACTATTCCCACCCTCTTCAACCCCCCACTAGCCCACCTTTCTGCCAATAGTCGCTTATATCTCACCCGAACTTCCTCCTACCTTATTTTTATACACTTTCACCTCCCTCTTACTTGTTGTTGCCACCTTCCTCTTTTCCCATCTACCTCTTACTCTAACTGCAGCTACAACTAAATAATGATCCGATATATCCGTTGCCCCTCTATAAACATGTACATCCTGGAGCCTACCCATCAACCTTTTATCCACCAATACATAATCTAATAAACTACTTTCATTACGTGCTACATCATACCTTGTATATTTATTTATCCTCTTTTTCATAAAATATGTATTACTTATTACCAAATCTCTTTCTACACATAGCTCAATTAAAGGCTCCCCATTTACATTTACCCCTGGCACCCCAAATTTACCTACTACTCCCTCCATAACATTTTTACCCACTTTAGCATTGAAATCCCCAACCACCATTACTCTCACACTTGATTCAAAACTCCCCATGCATTCACTCAACATTTCCCAAAATCTCTCTCTCTCCTCTACACTTCTCTCTTCTCCAGGTGCATACACGCTTATTATAACCCACTTTTCACATCCAATCTTTATTTTACTCCACATAATCCTTGAATTAATACATTTATAGTCCCTCTTTTCCTGCCATAGCTTATCCTTCAACATTATTGCTACTCCTTCTTTAGCTCTAACTCTATTTGAAACCCCTAACCTAATCCCATTTATTCCTCTCCACTGAAACTCTCCCACCCCCTTCAGCTTTGTTTCACTTAAAGCCAGGACATCCAGCTTCTTCTCATTCATAACATCCACAATCATCTCTTTCTTATCATCTGCACAACATCCATGCACATTCAGACTTCCCACTTAGACAATTTTCTTCTTCTTATTCTTTTTAGTAATCTTTACAGGAAAAGGGGTTACTAGCCCATTGTTCCTGGCATTTTAGTTGACTTTTACAACACGCATGGCTTACGGAGGAAAGATTCTTATTCCACTTCCTCATGGATATAAAAGGAAAAGTAATAAGACCAAGAACTATTAAGATAAACTCAAAGAAAACTCAGATGAGTGTGTATAAATAAATGTGTACATGTATGTGTAGTGTGACCTAAGTGTAAGTAGAAGTAGCAAGACATACCTGTAATCTTGCATATTTATGAGACAGACAAAAGACATCAGCAATCCTACCATCATGTATAACAATCACAGGCTTTCGTTTTACACTCACTTGGCAGGAGGGTAGTACCTCCCTGGGTGGTTGCTGTCTACCAACCTTACATGTATTTCAACTTAATGATGGTGCAACAGCGATGCACATTCAGTAACAATTACTGTTAGTTCTATGCTTCACAACATTCCTCAGGAGCAGTTTGCTTTCAGCTGACTACATTAATGATGAGTACCTGTACAACATATCACTACATGTATCATCCTAAGGTAATCAAGTCAATGTACTGTAAAATTTCTCTTTTGTACTGTACAGTACTGTACATTTATTCCCCTCAAGGAAGGTTCCTTGATGTTGGTGAGGGGCTCTTGATTTAGGGAATTGGATCTGTGCTCCAGTTCCCCAAATTAAGCCTGAATGCCTTCCACACCCTCCCCCCAGGCGCTGTATAATCCTCTGGGTTTAGCACTTCCCCCTTGATTATAATAATAATGTACATTTATTGATAGGATAAACTTGTATTCATTTACTTATTTTTCAATACTGGTATTTAGTTAGTAACAGTAATTATTTGTTTATTTACTTATTTAGTGACAATTATTTATTTACTTATTTATAGTATCATATTCATATTTGATTTATGATGGAGTCATTGGAATGTAACCCCATTGTAAGTCGAGGAGCACTTGCATTTACAGAATTTTTTTTATATAAATGCAACTTTGTAACACCCTTTGTTGTGCTTACAATTACATTTTCAGCACTTATTCTTTTATCTTGCAAGGCCCTACAAGTATTTCCCTCAAAGTTTCTGCTAGAGAAGGATCAGCTACCACAATGCTACTCAGCTAAACTTGCAGATTATAATATGCTTTATAGCCCAATGCTATGGTAAACTACTGGCTCACCCACAACAAGCAACAACTTATCACTAAATACATCATTATATGCAACCTGGCACTACCTGTATAACATCTTGTAATTAACACAATTATACTATGATTTGCAAAACAAAATACCAACACAATTGTAACACTCCTAGCTACATAGACAATTTTGTCACCTATGGCAATATGAAAGCATGGTACTTACTCTCCATCACGCCTCCTATAATCAACTTCCATGAAGTCTACTGGCAAGCAAGCAAGAACATTTTCCTCCTGCAAAGTTAATAATAAATTGCGTGTCTAAATTTACAACTTATTATTAACCAAATTTAGTTTGACTATGAGCATTTGAGAAACCAGTTTACTATGTAGAATGAAGTAATGACCAATGACTTGGAATAAGAGTTTAAATGAAGGAAATTATTGTGATGAATGGTTTGAAAAACCGACAAGTTGAAGATTGAGACATTTATGCAACATATGGGAATCTTTATTCAGGAAACGTTTCGCCACACAGTGGCTTCATCAGTCCAATACAAAGTAGAAAGGCGTAAGGAGAGGAGGAGTTTGAGGTAATCAGTCCCTCAGCCTGGAGTCGATGTGTTCAGTCCATCAATCTTGTAGAATGTACAGCATAGGGCCGTAGACGTGGCTTATATACTGTAGTGAGGTGAGGTGAAGCAAGAGGTGGGGGGGTCATAGTGGTACCATCCACTAGTCGAAGTAGGTCTTTGTCCAAAGGTTGAACAAGTGTTGAAGAATCTTTGTAATAAGATCAGTCTAATACTTTGTATTGGACTGATGAAGCCACTGTGTGGCGAAACGTTTCCTGAATAAAGATTCCGGGCTGTGGCTCGTACGTTGGTTTGCGTGCAGCCAGCAGCAACAGCCTGGTTGATCAGGCGCTGATCCACCAGGAGGCCTGGTCACAGACCGGGCCGCGGGGGCGTTGACCCCCGAAACTCTCTCCAGGTAAACTCCAGGTCTCCAGGTATGTTGCATAAGTGTCTCAATCTTTAACTTGTCGGTTTTTCAAACCATTCATCACAACTGTCAGACACTGCAGCATCATGGGATCTTATTACAAAGAATTCTTCAACACTTGTTCAACCTTTGGAGGAAGACCTACTTTGACTAGTGGATGGTACCACTATGACCCCACCTCCTCCTGCTTCACCTCACCTCACTACAGTATATAAGCCACGTCTACGGTCCTATGCTGTACATTCTACAAGATTGATGGACTGAACACATCGACTCCAGTCTGAGGGACTGATTACCTCAAACTCCTCCTCTCCTTACGCCTTTCTACTTTGCATTGGACTGATGAAGCCACTGTGTGGCGAAACGTTTCCTGAATAAAGATTCCCATAAGTTGCGTAAGTGTCTCAATCTTCAAGGAAATTATTGCCAAATTACTGCGGTAAACATCATTTAATATTAAGATAGGAAACATGGAGACAGGCAAGTGAATAGTCAGAAATTATTAAACATTGCTTGTTTAACAAGGTTATGTAACTGCAGAAATATGGGCAGATAATTTTGCAAATAAAAATAGATATACCATACTGTATTAAGTTACTGTGCTCCTCCCAAGCTAAGTTACACTTGTGAGGACATTCTGTGGGTTGTTTGGGTGGGCAATTACTCTCTCAACACTCCATAGACAGAGAGCCAACAATTTAATAATTTCTCTGATATAAATGGCATGCATATTCCTCTTGTCAAAATTTCAAGAGTTCAACGATGAGAAATTTCAATTACTCAGATATGGTAAACACGAGGAAATTAATATATAATCTTCATCAGAGTACAAAACAAATTCTGGCCACAAAATAGAGCGAAACACCGTCAAAGACCTGGGAGTGATCATGTCGGAGGATCTCACCTTCAAGGACCATAACATTGTATCAATCGCATCTGCTAGAAAAATGACAGGATGGATAATGAGAACCTTCAAAACTAGGGATGCCAAGCCCATGATGACACTTCAGGTCACTTGTTTTATCTAGGCTGGAATATTGCTGCACACTAACAGCACCTTTCAAGGCAGGTGAAATTGCTGACCTAGAAAAATGTACAGAGAACCTTCACGGCGCGCATAACGGAGATAAAACACCTAAATTACTGGGAGCGCTTGAGGTTCCTGAACCTGTATTCCCTGGAATGCAGGCGGGAGAGATACATGATTATATACACCTGGAAAATCCTAGAGGGACTAGTACCGAACTTGCACACGAAAATCACTCACTACGAAAGCAAAAGACTTGGCAGACGATGCAACATCCCCCCAATGAAAAGCAGGGGTGTCACTAGCATGTTAAGAGACCATACAATAAGTGTCAGGGGCCCGAGACTGCTCAACTGCCTCCCAGCATACATAAGGGGGATTACCAACAGACCCCTGGCAGTCTTCAAGCTGGCACTGGACAAGCACCTAAAGTCGGTTCCTGACCAGCCGGGCTGTGGCTCGTACGTTGGTTTGCGTGCAGCCAGCAGTAACAGCCTGGTTAATCAGGCTCTGATCCACCAGGAGGCCTGGTCACAGACCGGGCCGCGGGGGCGTTGACCCCCGGAACTCTCTCCAGGTATATAACCTTAGTGGGTTTACCTCTTTCTCGTGAACTAAAAAAAAAAAATATAAGTTCCTGTACAGTTTGGAACAAACTGATAAACTGTAGATATAACTGATACACAGTATCTAATTATTGTGCAAAGAATATGATATATACAGGAATTCTTAGCTTAAGTTAATTTCAAAATTCACTCTTGAGCTTTTATCGCTTAATGTATACATGATCACCATGTATATTTGCCTTTACCTATAATACTGTATTTGTATTTAGTTACACTTAGAAAAGTTGGTTATGTGGCACAAATTTTGCTCCAGGTCTGAGAGTGGCATTGTTTATTATTTATTCAATAAAAAATTTAAACAATCTCTTAGCTACAACCTTTTGGTACAAACTGTTGCATTCTAGTCTTGGCTAAAAACCAGTCAATGAACATGACAGGATACTTACCCTAGCCAATAACACACTGATTAGAAGCACCACATGAGATGTCAGTGTTAAGAATCGTGCTGGGATTAATCCCGTTACTCTCATTTTGCCAGTAATAATAGAATCTTGTCACGCTTTTCTTTCTTGCTCTCTCATCTGTAATAAATAATTTGAATTATGATGAAGAATTTAACAAGTTTTTTTTAATTACTATAATTACAGTACGAGAGAATAATGGTACCAACCCTTTTGTATGTGTGGTGAGGCATGCTTTCTGAACACTGCAGTGAGGTGGCAGCTAGAGGAAATGGGAGATTCATGTTTGTGAGCAATGCAGAAAATCTGGAGTGTAAAAATTAAAAAGGCGATGTAGGATCACCAAAAGCATAATTCAGAGGGCCGAGGAGAGGTGTTGGTGGTTTGGGCATGCAGAGAACATGGAGTGGGATAGGTTGAGAAAGAGGGTACAAGAGTGGAAGATAATAGGGTAAGGGGTCATCCCAGGAATGGTTGGAGGGAAGGGGTACAAGAGGCTTTGAGTTTTAGGGGCTTGAGCATCCAGCAGATTTGTTCAAGTGTTCATTAGATAGGAGTGAATGGAGACAAGTATTTTTAATGGATATGCTGTTGGAGAGTGAGCAAGGTAATTTTCATGAAGGGTTTCAGGGTAACCAGTTAACCAGACTTCGAGCCCTGGAAGTGGGAAGGGTAGTGCCTGCACTCTGAAGGAGTTGATGTTGCGGTCAAGAAGATAATCTGAATTGTAATGTCAGCACACTTCTGATAAAATATATCAAGGTTATTAAGAGCTAAATTATACTTATTGACATTATCAAGAGAGAGAGATTATAGTTCACATTGATCTAAAGTAGTATTGAATTTTTTTACAGATTCTTTGTGTGTTCTAACTCGAGCTGTGTTTTATTTTACGCTACATCATAAAATATATCTTTGATAAAAATATTAGCATACTGTAGTACAACAATAATGTAATCAAATTTAGTGCCAAACCCAAAAGGGTCATACAGCAATTCAGCTAAGGATGTGCGAAAAGAGTAATGTGCAAAGATGAGGAAGTGAAGGGAAGGAATGTGAGAGAGGAGGGGTTAGTGGGGGGGGTAGGAGAGAATGCAAGAGGAAAAGTAAAATCAAAGTTGATGCTTTAAGTTAGTTTGTTAAGAAAGTTAGAGAGAATCAGCAAGGTCAGTTAGAATTAGTGTGTTGGGATATATTGAACAAATAGGTAGCCTTTGGACTCTTCTGGCTGAGTTCCAAATTTTGGGGGCTTTTATGTGCTCTTGAGTTTTTACTCAGGTTAAGTCAAGCATGGGGTTATCCAATAGGTATTTGTTTCCTGTATTATGCTACTGTACTTATTTATTTCATGGGGAAGGGGCTATAAACCTGTAGAGGCTATATGGTTATACAGTGCCTTGGGGAATAGGAAGCAATCAGATTTAGTCCAAAGAAAAGGAGGGTAGCTACAATTTTAAAATGAAGCACCTTAAACTGGAATAAATTGCTCCCTTGAGGGGTACAGTTGCTGTCTACCACATAGAGTATAAGGCTGGGGAGCTACTTGGACCACAAGAGTCCAGGACCAGTAAACCAGAGGTCACTGCTGTCATGGCCTGCTATAAGCTATACCACCTTTAGGTGTCCTACATACATACCATCTTGCCACACCCATGCCATAAGGCCAGCAGTAGTGATTATGTGAAGCACTAAAACCATTGGTTCATTCAGTGCAAGGAGGGGAAGCTTGACCTATGGTTTAGCACTTAGTTTTGATTATATTAATAATTGACCTTCTGCGTACTAATTGTGAAACAGATGTGCTATTCTTGCAGCCATCCAGGATGAAGGAACTTAACAAATCATCTTATGACAAACACCCCATATCAAGTCCCCCCCCCCCTCCCCCCACAATGAATAAACCAGCCAGGATAATTTAACAAGGAATGAGGAAGCATGCAGTTAGCCAGTCATAATGTAATCACTATTCAGAAATAGGTGCTGGTCAGCAAGAAAGTTGCCATGCATGAAGCACCAATAATGTAGACAGTACCTACTGAAGTGTGATTAAAAATAAGAAAATGACAATGAAGTGTTAGGTATTAAATATTACAGTATTATTAAATGTAAAGAAATATTGATGCAAAAAGATGACCTTTTTTTATATTTAAATCAGGGGAAGCACTAAACCCACTGGAGTTGTATAGTGCCTGAGGAATGAAGCATCCAGATTTGTTTTATGAAAGGGAAGGATAAATTCAGCTCCTTGGATTAAGGGCCTCTCTCACTAGTGTCTAGGAAGCAATAACCCTACAGGGGTCAAAATATAATGCTTGGGAATAGGAGATAGAGCAGGTTTGATCCAAAAGAATAAGAGATCCAATTCCTTGGATCAACTTTTTACCTTCAATATTACATTCATATTAAAGAGCTCTGACCCCTCAACAGAGGTTCCTTGACGCTGGTGAGAGGCTCTTGATCTAGGGAATTGTATTTGTGCTCCGGTTCCCTGAATTGAGCCTGAATACCTTCCATCTCCCCCCCCATGTGCTGTATAATTCTACAGGTTTAGTGCTCCCCAAAGATTATAATAATAATAATTAAAGAGCTCTGAATGTGTGGGGATCCCACAGCACTTGGGGAAAAGGAACTAATCAGAATTAATGCAAATGATGGTAGCTCCAATTTCCTGGATAGAGAACCCTTCATCAGCATCATATATACTTCGTGAGGCCTCATTTAGTGGCCATAAATGCATCAGAAAATATACAAAAAGGATAAAGAATCTGGTCCCATGTTTCAGAAACCTTTCCTATGAAGATAGCACATATAAAAGCATTGAATTTCCACCCTCTGGAAACAGTATTGGGGGGAATATGACTGAAATGTACAAATGGAGAGCAGTTATAAAGAGAAATATAAATAACATGTTGAAAATATCTAACGAAGACTCTGTGTAGCTTTATAGGTTAGGTGGGTGTGCAAGTGAATGTGGCTGGAAGTAAATTGGACTTGCCCAGCCTAAGCCAAAAGGTCTGCTGCAGTGTTCCACTGTTCATACATGTGCTATTACTGCAAGTATTACATTCAATGAAAAAAACAATCTATTATTAATCAGTTCTACACATCATTTCCTTTTTATTACTTCAAACTGTAAATGAGTATTTGATTCATTCATTGACTTGAGTTTATATGCACATAGTTCAGGATGCAAAGAAAAGATTATTTTATTATATATTGTATTTAAAGACAAAATAATGAAGACCTTAAAATAATGTAATAGGTCTTTATGATTAATGTTAAAATGATATACAAACTTTGTATCTTTCAGAATTAAAATATCCTACATAAGAAATGGAATATAATGTGTTTCATACCTTTAAATAATGATAAGGCTGGATAAAATAGTTTATGACAGGCAAATTTTTAAACTGTGCAATTTGTATGGCATTAAAGAGTAACACTATATACATCGAGCATGAGTTTAGAACTCTTAATTTATAAAGTATTTAATTATAAATACCATGGGAAAAGAATGGTAAATTCATTGTGAATATAGTATGTTATAGTACCATGTTATTTCATTTATTAAAAAAAGTCCTGTATATGAACCAGGTATAAGAATTTATTTTAACAATGCTTTCACTCATTACGCACAGTAATTATATATCAGAGTAATCAAGCGTCTTCAAAAAGCATGTGGACCAAATCAACGTTAGCACACTGCTCCTCCTCCAGCCTTTGGGGTCCTCCATACTTCATAAGGGTGGGCACACACTTAAGTTTGGTGCGGGCATCTGTGCGGAAAACACAGTTCTTGTCCTTCCAGAAGTCTCGGCTACCCACGCCCACGTAGACGAAGACAGCATCTTCAGGAGCCTTCTCCAGGGCTCCTTTGACCACAGGCTCCGCCACCACACAGTCTGGGCACCAACTCTTTCCCCTGGAGTCCTTTGACCCGCTGAACAGCACATATATCGGATTGTCTGAGTCCTTGAAAGAGTCTACTTTCTCCACAAAGGCATCAAAGCCTTCCACTTCGAATTTCTGGATCATAGCTGGCTATTTGTTAATATGTCGATAATGCAAGAGTGTAAGTCCAGCGCTCATGTGTTATGTCAGCCACCTGATGTGTTGTAACAATGATGCTAACTTTTGTTTCAACTACTGAAGCATATATACAATGACACGTATAAACATAACCACGTCATCTGAATTATAACCATTATTCCTACCTTTTTATATGGCAAGTAGCGGACAAACATGGCACTGTGAATATTTTGTTTGGGAATTCAAACATTTTGTCATGTTGAGCGTTTCATGATTGTCTGTGCCACGGAGCGAGTCAGGGGTTCATGAACACTGTGAACCTAGAGCCTGGCATATGAACCAATACTGCATAGGCCTACTGGCCCATGTAATAATAAATATCTTTATTTCTACAAGTACATGTACAAGGTATACAGTCCTAGCTGACATCAATGACATGCTACTATATAGAAAGCAGCTTGTTATGCAGAGCATTTTGGGCAAATTATGTCAGTGTCCCAGGATGCGACCCATACCAGTCAACTAACACCCAGGTACCCATTGTACTGATGGGTGAACATAGACAACAGGTGTAAAGAAACACGCCCAGCGTTTCTACCCTGGCTGGGTATTGAACCCAGACCCTCGCCGTGTGAAGCGAGAGCTTTAGCCACCAGAGTTTATTTAGATGCGGGTACACATAAGTGCAATTATCATACAAAGTAACATGTGTAAATTTCTTAGGATAACCCCAAAAAAAGTCAGTGACTAATTTTCATTGTGGTCCTTGAGGTTTAACTCGCCCTACTACACCCACTAAAATATACCGTGCCCACAGGATGGTTATGGGTGCATAATAAAGATGATAAACTAAACTAAAATATGCAATTTATCACCTTTTATTAAGACGTTTCTTCCACCACATTTAGCGTTGATGAAATTAAGACACATGTGCAACATCTGGATATCTTTATTGTAGACGTTTCGCCATCCAGTGGCTTTATCAATACAAATTCTAGGACATGATTTGAAGACAGTAGAACTATATACAAAAGATGAGGTAATCATTCCCTCAGTTGGTGTGAAGAGCACCGTGGTTGGGGAGATTCTGGAGCACAACAGAACAGAGGACTCTTAATGGTATAAAATACCGACAGGTTGGTAGGTAAGACACAAAGGCAACAGTTAGGCAACTTTATTCCGAAACGTTTCGCCTACACAGTAGGCTTCTTCAGTCGAATACAGAAAGTAGGCAGGAACAGTAGAGATGTGAAGACGATGTAATCAGTCCATCACCCTTGAAGTCGTAGAATTTGCCTACTTTCTGTATTCGACTGAAGAAGCCTACTGTGTAGGCGAAACGTCTCGGAATAAAGTTGCCTAACTGTTGCCTTTGTGTCTTACCTACCAACAGAGGACTCACAGGTAAGGACCCACTGGGGGCGAGGGGCCATTGAGGACAGGATGAAGAATAGGTGGGGGAGAGGAAATATCGAAGAAAGAGGAAGTGTCAGAACTAGACCCAACTGCTAAGCAAGGGAAACAAATAAGTGCAGCAATTTCACTCTCGGAAGCATGTCATTCGCAAGACTGGATGCGCAACAAGGCGTTAGCACTATGGAAAGGTGCCGCAAAGGACATTCGCAAGCAATTCAGCATAAAACGCACTCAATGACAATGGCAGTTATAGAATTGTTGTAATAATGTAGAGAGGTGGAGGTGCAGGGCCATAAAGAGTGAGGAATAGATTTACAGCATTGTAAGGATGCCTGACAGTCTCCTAAATAAGAAGTCCAATAGTCATGGTATGTCTCGAGTGTGTCAAGTTGTTTGTCACTTAGTGTCTTCCAGTACACGTTCAGAGCTGGTGTATTAGTCGTGAGATGGAGAGATTCACTGGTGGCGAATTCGTCCCACCTCACTCCCAACACCCAACGTAATGCACGATTCTGGATGCGTTGGAGTTTTAATGGAGCAACTTCCAATCTGAACAGACTGACTGATGTTGTAGTGGCCAGGCTTAGGCTTGGTTACAAGTACTTCTGGCAGTTTGGGAGACACACAGATGATGATCAAACTAAATGTAAATTATGTGATCAGGCATATGGTCACTCTCTTGAACACTATGTGCTTAATTGTCCACTTATTGAGGAATACAGAGACAGTATAATAACCTATGTGACATGTCAAGATATCTTATTAATGAAAATAAGATACCAGATATACTAAGCAAATTTCCTAAATTTGCTTGTAACAGATAAGTGAACTATAGATATAAATCCATATGTATTCCTGTTAACCCTTTGGGGCCTAGTTCCTAGGCCTTTTGTGTATCCATATGCTCTCGCGCTACCGTCCACAGGATGGATATGGGGTGCACAATAAACTAGCCACTTCGGTGGCAAAATCTAAAATCTAAATCCTAAGTAATTTTCACATATATCGCTATGTAAGACAAATGTAATCGTTCAAAAATTGTGTAAAACTGAGCCTAAATAGGCTTTCCTTACGTAGTTACTATACTTGTTTGATTGCTTTCTTACGTTACTTTCTTTACTTTGCTTACTTATTTTATTTACTTCACCTACTTTATTTACTTTACTAAGGACCCCAATGGAAATAAGTCAGTTGTCTGACTTTCTTGGGTTATCCTAGGTAACCTACACATATGCTGCTACGTATGATGATTTATGTAACTATATTTATATGTACCTGAACCTGCCTGGTCGCAAAAGCTCTCGCTTCACACGGTGAGGGTCCGGGTTCGATTCCTGGCGAAGGGATGGAAACATTGGACCTGTTTCCTTCCACCGGTTGCTATGTTCACCCATCAGTAAAATAGGTACCTGGGTGTTAGTCGACTGGTGTGGGTCGCATCCTGGGACAAAACTGACCAAATTTCCCCGAAATGCTCAGCATAACAAGCATCTTTCTACACAGTAGTATGTCATTGATGTCAGCTACGCCTGTGTACCTTGTACATGTACTTGTAGTAAATAAGGATATTATTATTATTATTATTATTATTATTATTATTATTATTATTGTTATTATTATTGCACAACCCGCACATAGGAGAGAGGACCTCACCACATTTCGGTCCGAAACGTCGTGGTAAGCTCCTCTCCTCCTATGTGCTGGTTATTTGTGTATTGTTCCAGTCACGATATTGTGCCTTTTTTATTTATTTATTATTACTTGGTTGTAAGTGAAGCCTCGAGCAGTGTTGACAATGGTAGAAATATTGAAGCAGTAGTGCGCATGCGTCAGTCAGTTGACACGTCTCAACACTTGTAGCAGGAAGGCTGCCTCTCTCTTCTTGACTTTGACTCTTAAATATACACACCCATCACAATGGTAGGTTAATTACGTTAGGGTGATTATGTAATTAATTCACCTTGTAGTTGAGGATTGTAATCCTTACAGAGGTAATGTAGAAGTGAAAATCTATGACCTGTCATCTGTGTGACAGACCGGGTCTGTTAAAATATTGTGTAGCTATACATACAATTGCTCCTCAAGGCTGGCATCTTGATGTCGATGAAGGGCTCTTGATCCAGGGAATTTGACCTACCACCCCTTGGTTCGAACCTAATATACACAGGGGGCTATATGACCCCTGTGGGTTTCGTGCTCTCATAAATATAATTCAATGGAGGTGCTTTGATGTTAATGAAGGGCTCTTCACCCAAGGAATTTGAGTCATTTACCCATACCCCCTACCAGGAGGATGATTGGGGTGTCGAGGCCCCCGCGCCCCTGTTTATGACTAAGCTTAGCTGTGGATCACTGCCTGATTAAACAGGTTGTTACTGCTGGCCGCACGCAAACTGATGTACAAACCACAGCTTAGCTGGTCAGGAACTGACTTTAGGTGCCTGCTCTGCTGCCTCTTGAAGACAGCCAGGGGTCTATTGGTAATCCCCCCCTTATATATGCTGGGAGGCAATTGAACAATCTTGGGCTCCTGACACTTATTGTGTTGTTTTTTATTGTGCTCATGGTGCCCCTGCAGAGTTATGATGGTTTATTTCCCGAGTAGAGGCATTAGAATTTCCGAGTGGTGCCTAAATACTGGTGAGAGGAGGCTCTTGATCCAAGAAATTGGACTTAACCTCCATTTCTTGGACCGAACGTGAATACCTCTTATTCCTTAAGCACTATGTGATCGTATTGAGTTTAGTGCTTCCCTTTAATTAAAATTAAGTGCAGTAGTGTTGTAACCATATATTTATTATAAGGAAAAACCTATAGTTATGGATGGAATTTTAGCATTCTTAAGCTAGGATTAATCCTTGTGGCCCAAGTGGTAGTGTTTTTATCTCGCATAAGAAGGACCTGGGTTCAATCCCAGTATGAGTGGAAATATTGAGCATCTGTTGCCTCTGCTCACCTAGTATTAAGAAGGTTCCTGGGTGCTAGCTAACTGCTGTGGGTTGCCTCCTGGGGAAGAGGATGAAAAGACACCAATGGAAATAAACTATGGTGACTTTCTTGGGGTATCCTGGGTTACTAACCCTCATGGTTAAGGTTCTGAATAAAATCTAATTTTGTTAACAGGGGAGAGAGAAAAAATATATTGGTAGACAACACTCGCCCAAGGGAGGTACTGTTGAACTCGCCCATGAATTTGAAATGGAAACCTGTTCAATGTTTGTCACTGGCAGGATTGCTGGTCTTTTGTCTCGTAAATACATACTGTGACAGGTACAGTAACTTGGTGACTAGTACCAACACCCAGTATAATGTTATGTGCATGTAATATATACACAGTATTTCAGTAGCTTATACTTTTGTTTCCTTTCATTTTCATGGGAAGGGAGTTAGCTTTCCTTTGTAAGCTGTGTGTGTCATAGAAGGCAATTCAAATGTCAGAAGGAAGGGGATAGTAATCCCCTCTGTATCATTTACAAAAAAAGACAGAATTTTTTTTATGTTTGGTATGAAAATTCCTTGGATATAGTATATAAAAAAATAGTAGTGGTTATACAATATTACATGATCATCTGTGAAAAGAGGGAGTATTAATGTTTAAATTCATTAATTGTGTGGAGTGGGGGGGGTTTAGTGCTTGCCCTTGATTATAATAATAATACGTAATAATAATAATAATAATAATAATAATGTGTGGAGTGGGATGTGAGAAGTGGGTTAGCATGTATGCCTCTTGGAGGACAAGGGAGTGTAGGGAGGAGAGAGATTTTTGTAGTTGTTGAATGTATGTTTGAGGAGTTTTGAATGAAGTGAGAGAATTATTGTTTTGGGTAACTTCAGTGCTCAAGTTGTAGAAAATGTTGTAGAGGGCACAATAGGTAAGTTTGGAGTGTCAAGTTTAAATGATAATATGGACTTCTAATAGATTTATGTATAGAAAGAGGTTTGGTAATAGGTAATAGTACTTATTTTAAGAAAAAAAAGAGGACAAGTTAATGGGATGACATACAGTAGTTTATGTTGACAGCATTTCGTTGAATTTTGCATTGGTAGATAAAAGAGTTTATGGGTAGACTATTATACATCTGGATCTGCATGTTTTTAGAGGAGTGACTGATATAACATGTTACATTAATGGTACCAGGGATCATCACAGCCTGCTTAAATTGAAAAGGAAATGTTATATGAATAAGAACTATGAAACACAAGAAAGTAAAGCATATTCTGAATATTGTAAGTATATTATAATAAAGATGGACCCCAATGGAAATAAGTCACTCTGACTTTTTTGGGTTATCCTAGGTTCTTTACACATGCTGCTATGTATGATAAACTATGTAACTGTATTTGTGTATACCTGAATAAACTTACTTAATAATAATAATGTCAGTCATGCAGCCATTATATGTACCATATCATTAGTACCTATTAGTATTATATATGCATTATATGCTCTTATGAAGAGATGCTGGGAGTGACTTCATAGTCTATGACTAATAACTTTAACACTGCTGTTGCTTGGAGGCTAGACTAGATCAGTTTGAACTTAGGAGCTTTGGTGAGCAGACCTGCTTCTGTATATGCATTTCTTCAATGAACAGTAGAACTGAGGCCAGCTATCATTCTCTGACTATCAGTGTTTTAATTTTACAACAGGTACAATAAATTGAAGGCCTAGAGTATGCACAGCAATTTGAGTAAACTTAATTCAGTACAGTTTAACCTACCATACTTGATTAATCTAGATTAATAAAATATGCTCTGTCACCATTTCATTAAAATACTGTACTGTATATGACATTCATAAAATAATACTGTACTGATTTTTTTTTTTTTTTTATTCGCCGGTATTCTCCCGGCCCGGGTCTTTTCCAAGTAGTGGTGACCCGGCCTTGGCTCCCTATCTGGGGAGTGTCTCGAGACTTAAGTCTCCCATGGGAGGAGGTACAAGTATCCCCTCATCTTTGGGACCAACCGTCCCCAGGCCTAGCCACATTCCCCGCCCTCACGGGGCTCGTAGGGAGAAGCTAGGCCTCTGGTCTGCCATCTGCCCCGCCCCAAAGGGGCTCGTGGGGATGGCAGTCTTGTGAGCTGCAGGTGGTAGCAAGCTCAGGGTCTGATAAAAAAAAAATTGTATGATTCTTAGTTTCATAATAGCTAGCTACTTTTTTGATATTCATTCAGTTGCTTAAGAGTGTAGAGTATCCATAGCAGTGTACTAAGGACATATGTTTTGCCCCAAACAGCCTCTGCGTTTAGATGTGAAGCGGAAGTTAACAGCACGGTCAGACCGTGTCAAGTCTGTTGATCTCCATCCCACAGAACCATGGATGTTGGCTTCGCTCTACAATGGAAATGTTCATGTCTGGAACATAGAGAGCCAGCAGCTTGTCAAAAGTTTTGAGGTAAGTTCTTGAGTAAAAAGGTATGTTTTTTTTTATTAACAATTGAGTTTAAGAAATAGATATGACAGTAAGAGTTGTTGAAGTCCTGCAAACTGCTGAACAAACAGAAGATATTTTAAAACTTTTATGCTTAAAAAAAGTAGAATCAGTTGAAAGGCCCATGGTATGAACAGCATTTAATTAAGGCAAACTTAGACTATGCCCAATGCTGTTTATATACTACATACATGTATACTTACTTAAGTTCACATAAATGAATTGCTTTAAAATAAATAACATTGGATGGTAAAGTAAGTTAATATTGCATGGTAAAGATTAGATTGCTTGAATGTAAAGTTCAATTTAATAGAGACTAATGGTTTTTGGGACCTGTTGAGTTGGAGTGTGAGTAGGGTAATATTTTGTGAAGAGGTTTAGAGAAACCAGTTAGCTGGACTTGAGACTTGGAGGTGGGAAGTACATTGACTGCACTTTAAAGGAGGGGTTTGGGATAGTGGCTGTTTGGAGTGACATCTAAACTGTTGTATCTGAGCACCTCTGCAAACACAGCAATTGTGTAACTGATGGTGAAAGTTTCTTTTTTCGGTCACCCTGCCTCTATGGGAGGCAGCCAACGTGTTAAAATAAGTAAATAGATAGTAATCTCTACAATTTTGATGACTCGAGGTGAGATAGATTAGAGAAGAATGCAGAGTAAGTTATGATGTTTTGGGTATATGGAGTATTTTCAAAAGTATACTCACTGTTTTGGAAATTTTCCTTCCTATCAACAAGTGTATTGTTTATTTTAATGTTCGTATGAGTGTTTTTGGCCTTGTTCCCATACGTTTTGTAGGCCCTGTTAGGTGAGTCTGTCATCATCCAAACAAGTTTCTGTAGGTTTGTTTTTGTTTGTTATTGTGAAGAATTCCAAGTGATCTTACAGGTCAGGGTGCTATTCAAATCTTAAAACTTCCTTCCAGTACTCTTCCAGTACTCTACTGTACAGTACTACTACAAAAAAGTACATGTCATGAGTTTGCAAGTGTAGTACAATGTAGTATGTTTTATGCATACAGGAGGGCCCCACTTATACAGCAGGGTAGGTTCTAGGCTACTGCAATTCAGTGAAAATCAATGTAAAGTGAAACACATTTTCTTTTTTTTCACTTTTGAATGCATATAAATGCCTGATAACATGTTAACAATATCATATATTAAGTGAGCAACAGAGCTAGGTCTAAAAAATGCACATAAAGTACACACATTACTTAAAATATTTTCATCCTTAGCTCATAGTGAGTGGTGAATATATTTATTGTAGGATGCCTGAATAAATGATTCGGTATAATTGAAAATTGCTGCATTAGCAGAACGGTGTACAGTGGGGCCTTCCTGTATTTTAAAACTGTTCTTTTAAAATGTAAGTGCACTCAGTGAACTGAAGATATGAAACTCAAAATGTCTGTAACCTTAGTAATCATAAGGTTATTCAAAATGGTGTACTTTATATTTTTATTGGTTAGGATAAATGTAATTTCAATATGGTGATGTATCATTTTATTTTGTAGGTGTGTGATCTTCCCGTGAGAGCTTCAAGATTTGTTGCTCGCAAGAATTGGGTTGTGACAGGCTCAGATGACATGCAAGTACGTATATTCAACTATAACACCCTTGAGCGTGTGCACCAGTTTGAGGCACACTCTGACTATGTCAGATGCATTGCAGTCCATCCAACTCAGCCATTCATCCTGACATGCAGTGGTAAGTGCAGTTTTAATCCTAACCTAAGGAAAACAGAAATACAGGACTTTATAGGCAAGTCATAATATAGTGGGTTCATTCCAAAAGTCATTTTAAACTGTGTGGCTTTTGAAAGAGCTCATGGTGCAATGTATAGGCTGTTTGGCCTAAAAAAGGTATGCAAAACATTCTGCTATATTTGAGACACACTGTATGTTATTTGCCCTCTGCTGTTTAGGTTGAATAATCTAGTAATACTATTTCCCTCGACTTTTTCACTTATTACATGTTAATATGTGTATTTTTAATTATCAGATGATATGACAATAAAATTGTGGAACTGGGATAAAAAGTGGTCTCTTCAACAAATGTTCGAGGGCCACTCACACTACGTAATGCAGATTGTCATTAATCCCAAGGACAACAACACATTCGCTTCAGCATCTCTTGATCGAACAGTTAAGGTAATATTACACAAGTGTTCAAGTTGAGAGAATGATGGAGAAAAGTGAATAAGTATTTGAATTAGGGAGAGAGGAAGTGATACTGGCAAAAGAGGATATAAAAAAAATTGTTCATTACATACAGCAATATACTCTAAAAATATTGTGCAAAGAATTCGGGGTGTAGAAATAAGACAGTGTGGGGGTTGGAAAAGATATTAGGGTGGAGGAGTTGAGTTATTGAAGTGGTTTGAAAATTTTTTTTTAGAAAGGCTGGAGTAGAATAGAATGACAAAGAGGATATGTAAATGCACAATGGAAAGGGGAGGGATAGGATCATTCTTAGAATCATTGGAGGAAGAATATGAAGGAGGTTTCAAGTAGTATTAGGGGCTTCAGCATCCAGCAGGTGAGTGTGAATGTGTTATGTTGTAGCTAGTGAAGAAAAATGGG